TGAGCTCAAGATGATGGCTATTCGACGCTATCAGCGAGCTAGATCGACGCCGATTAAACAGTCAAATCCCGAAAATTGGCTTACCGAATTCGAAAGCGCTTATTATGGAATGAAACACCATGATCTTCCTGAAGCGCAAGATATGTATGTGATCAGAGACTTCCTAGGTGCGGTTATGAAAACTTCAAAGGAATGGGTCATGATCAGACGAAACCTATTGCACCAGTCAGAATATAAGAGCCAGACGATCACGGATACGATAGCAGCTTACCGAGAGCATCTATCAGATGAGATACTCTATCAAGATACCAGCCTGAATGTTGCATTCGCTGCCAATCTAACGCTTCAAGGAACCGGGATTCCGGATCAGTCAAATCAATCGAATCAATCGAATCAATCGAACCAGTCAAATACAACAAAATTTGTGCCGAATTGTCCATGTGGCAAGAAACACTTCTTCAAAGAATGCCCATACGTGATCAAATCATTGCGAAAGGCAGATTTTGTGGAAGATCCAGAAATCAGGGCGAAATTCGATGATATCCTGAGGACCCCGGGTGGAAGAAACAACATGTTAAAGAAGGCAATGGAACAGAATAAGCAAGCTGGAGAGGAACATGCCATGGCTGCTATACCGGTAGGATTCTCTGCAACGGAGATTTCGCTGAAGGATAGTTTTATCCTAGATTCGGGTGCCTCAGTGCATATTTGCAATGACAAAGCAAGGTTCAAGCAGTTGAAGCAGAAGCCAGGGGGCTATCTGCGTGCTGGTGACACTACCGTGCCAATTGAGGGTACTGGAGTAGTTGAAATATCACCAAACTGCAAAGAAACTAAGGATGTTTTGATATCTCTGCATGAAGTTGCCTACATGCCAGGTTTTCATACTAATATCGTCTCAGCAAGTCGCATGAAGCGGGCAGGCTATCTATGGGACTTTGCGAGAGATAGAGTATTGAAAAACAGCAAAGAGATCTTTAGGCTTGTAGAATATCAAGGACTTTGGGTCATGGAGCAAAACAGCAGAAATCAGAATTCTGAATTAACCAATGAGGATGCTCATTCAGTGAGGTCAAATCCCCATGTTAAGCATTCTGCTAAACCTCTGAAATTAGCAGGAAATGCAGATAGGTGGCACAAGCGATACAGTCACCTAAATCATGAAGCTATTCGACATCTGCCGAAAGCTGTTGAGGGTATTCAAATCGATGATTTTGAAACACCCAAGGACTGCGAAACATGCAGATATTCAAACGCTCCACGTCAGATTTCTCGAAGACCAGCAACCCGAGCAACTCGACCATTTGAGAGGGTTCATTTTGACCTTATCGAGTATAATATGGCATGGAACGGAGACCGTTGGTGTACGCACTTTTATGACGAATTTACCCATATGCATTTTGCATACACACATGCAAAGAAAAATGGTTGTGTAGATGCTGCAGTGCATCTAGTCTCTTTAGTTGAACGCCAGTTCAAGATGAAAGTGCAATTTTACAAGTCAGATAATAAACAGACTCTTGGAAGAGACTTTCATACTTTTACTGACTTAGAAGGTATCATTCATGAGACATCTGTGGTTGCGACACCCGAGCAGAACGGCCCTGCAGAACGCTCAGGGGGTGTTTTAATCTCGCGAGCAAGGCATATGACGATCGAGGCAAGGTTACCACTTGATATGTGGCCAGTTTCGGTAAACGCAGCAGCATATATACTGAATCGAATGCCGACAAAGACATTAGGATGGAAAACGCCGTTCGAGAAGGCCACTGGGAAACGTCCCAATATGGCAAACCTGTATACGTTTGGCTGCAGAGCCTACGTACGAGATCAGTCATTGAATCAGAAAAACAAGACACTGAAAACGAAACCGCGAGCGCTAGGGGGCTACTTAGTCGGATATAAAACCTCAAACATATGGCTTATCTGGATCCCAAGCAAGCAACGAATCGAAGCAGCGAGGGATGTTATATTTGATGAATCAAAGCTTTATGATCCGAATCAACCATTCTTGGAGGATGAGATTGCGGAGGAATCGCCATTTCCACCAATTGAAACGACCGAAATCAACCGACATGATGAATGGGAACCGTTGGAAGTTAGGGATGAAATTGAAATGACACCCGAGGGGGTGGCCAATGATTCTGCCGTAGAGAGCGGTCAGATTTCAGCCAATCAAAATGCTCAGAGCTGTCAGAATAAGGTTAGGTCACCTGGCCAAGCCCCACAACCTTATCTTACCCCGGAATCAACTCCAGCTTCAATGCCAGGATCATGGGATTTCGACACTACAACAGATCAGGCAGATCGAACAGATCAGGATCGAACAGATCAAGCAGATCGAACAGATTCACCAAGCCAGTGGTTGCTTCAATCGCTCGAAGAAGCTACGCAAGCAGCTACGGAAGGAGATATTGATCGCGATACTACTCCGACGCCAGTATCACGCTCAGGGGGTGGAATTCAGGAATCTCAACCTTCTGAGGCAGCTGTACGGCCAATCAAAAGACGAAATCGAGAAGGATTAGATCAATCATTAATTATTGAAGGCAAACGTGAACGTCGACCAAATCGAGATTCGAACTATGAATATGGAAGCTTTGTACAAGCTATCAAACTGCCCGAAGCATCAGAAAATGCCCTTCATGCAGCATTTACTGCAGTCTTGAATAGGCAAATCTATCGATCTGAATTACTTCCACCACCGCGAAATTGGAACGAACTGCTTAAGCATCCATTGAAGGATGATTTCATCCTCGCTGCAAGCAAGGAACATGCAGGATTGAAGCAGAAAGACACTTTTAAAGTTGTCAATATCAGTGAAGCTGCAGATCAAGAGATTTTGCCAGTTATATGGGTGTTTACCTATAAATTCGACGAAAATGGCAACTATCTCAAGGCCAAGGCACGAATTTGTGTACGAGGAGATCTTCAAGCACGATCAATAGAGGAAAACCGTGCAGGGACAGCTTCCGCGAGAATCTTCAGAACTTTAATGGCCTTAGTTGCTGCATTTGATCTTGATACAGACCAAAAAGATGCAGTTAATGCATTCTTGAACGCATTTTTGGATCAGGTGGTATACGCAAGGATGCCAGAAGGATTTAAGCAACCAGGAAAGATCTGGAAGGTCTTAAGAGCACTATATGGCCTTCGAAAATTACCTCGATTATGGCAGAAAGAGCTATCCGCAATGCTTCAAGAATATGGACTTGAATCTATCCCTGAGGAAGAGTGTCTCTTTATAAGTGCCAACTTACTAGTCTTTTTCTACGTGGATGATATTATTATCATCAATCGGCCTACTCCAGAAGCCCGCGCAGAGGCAAAACGATTCAAAATTGCCCTAGCAGCTCGCTATGAGCTAAGACATATGGGAGAAGTTGCATGGTTTCTGAATATTCGAGTTATTCGAAATCGACCGAATAAGAAGCTATGGCTTTGCCAAGATGCTTACATGGAACAAATGGCTGCAAAATTTCACCTCAACGACTTGACTAGATGGCCTGAAACGCCTCTACGTACAAATATCGAACTGCTTCCTAATGAAGAGCAAGCTACACCAGGTCGAATCCATGAATATCAGCAGAAAACTGGTTCCGCTCTATTTCCAACCATTATTACTAGGCCTGATGCAGCCCTAGCAGTCAACGAACTATCGAGATTCTCGAAGAACCCTTCGCCAAGTCATATAGAAGCAATTGATCGAGTTATTGCTTATCTCTATGACACCCGCTATCTAGCACTTGAGTTCAGCGCCAGCGAGCATGCAGACGAAGTCTATATCGCTGCAAGTGATGCTTCATTTGCTAATAATGAAGATAGGAAGAGTACTGGAGGATATCTCTGCAAGCTATTTGGAGGTCCAATTGAATGGAAATCGGGCAAACAACGCGCAGTCACTACGTCAACTACTGAAGCAGAATATGTGGCACTTGCAGAAGCTGCTAAAGCAACATATTGGTGGCGCAGAGTCTTCAAATCATTGGAGTTTGACCCAGGTCATTCGTTTGCTATCTATTGTGACAACAGGCAGACCATTGATCTGCTTACCAAGGATACTGCACAACGGAGCAAGTTACGCCATGTTGATATCAACAGATCATGGCTTCGACAAGAGGTTCAAGAAGGGAGACTTCAAGTCAAATGGATTCCTACCAATCAGATGACTGCAGATGGGTTCACGAAGGCTCTCCCAGTTCAAAAACACCGAGAATTTGTGAAGATGCTCAATTTGGTTAACATCAAGGATCTTATTCATGACTAAATGGGTATATGCAGCGCTCAATTTCAACATTGACCGCTGAGGGGGTGTGTCAACCGTATGTGACCGCTAGTCACATAGGAAACCTTCCTATTCCGGATATCGGTATTGGTAACACCGATCCCCGAGGATTATGCAGATTTTTCTGTTATTTCCATGGTTCAAAAGTTATATCTCTTCTAGTTGCCTTTTTCAGGCTAGATTGCTTATTAATTTTTCATGTATTTAAACCACCGTGTGCAGCTAGATTGAAAGAATCAGACCTTCATTATTCGATATTCCTATGGGTAACATTACTAGCAATTACGCCTAGAGAAACGGCCAACAGTTTGTTTATGACTCGTAGTCGAGGAATTTTCCCATAGCGAGGAAAGGCTATCTAGGAGCGAGAATCTAAGGCCTCTATGTACTAACTGAGGCTCTGCCTCAGGCAGGAAGGCATTCAGGAAGGTTTCTCCGTACTGGGAAGTTTGTATCGGAAGTCCGTATCGGGAAGTCCTTGGCTCAGGAGATAACAACCGCAACGGGACACGTGTCGTTACAATGGCAACACATAACTCCCAACCAGGCGGACCTCTACAAGCTGCTCTACTGAAGACAACTACTGCAGCCTCTACTAGGGCTACCAAGGGCCAGAAGATATTCAACCCGATAGCAGCCTTTCTTGACAAACACCGGAGCCTGCCAGGCCTTGCGCCTTACCAGCAAAATGCGCTTGACGCGCTCAGCAATGACCTTGCTGATATAGTTTAACGATACTTCAATGCCTATATCAGCGGTATTACTTTGACCTTGACTGCGAACCTCCCTGCCCCTGCCCCTGCCCTTGTTTCCTTTCCCCCTTCTCCCCCTCCTTCTCGTCCCTCCTCCGGTCTTGCTCAGTCGACGTACGCAACAGTCACTCAAACAACTAATGCTAAAGGCCCTACCGCATCCCAGCCTAGGGCCAAGCAAAAGACTATAATCCCTGCCCTAAACCAGCAACCCGATTCCCGCCTCTTTGTACGCCTCCCGCCGAATCACCTTACCAAAAATATGGATGCATACGCTATCTACACTAGCCTCCATTCCCATCTAGGTACCAATAACGAGGCCCTTAAGGGCGTCCAGCCTATTAAGACAGGATTCGCTCTCCTGCCTTCATCTCCCGAAACTCTGGCAGCCCTAGAGGCACAGAAAGAGGCTATCTTTACCTTCTTTACTACTTGCCAGATCAAGCGAAGCTCCCGCTGGATCTCGTACCGGGTAACAAATATACCAAGAAAGGTCGGCTAGCTTAATGCAAGCCAATACTCTATGGTCCCTGTTAACCCGGAGATTCTTTCAGCTGAAATAGCTAAAGCTACTGGCTTTACCTCAGTTAATGTAACTGAAACTGCCGCTAGTGCTTCTGATACAAATACAATCTCTTCAAGCTGGTTTATCAATTTCTCTGAAGAAAGCAAAGCTAAATTACCTATATGACTACCTCTGTTTGGCATAATTGCTAACGCCTAACCCTTATCCAGAAGGGTTAAGATCTCGCAATGTAACTGCTGCTGGAAATTGCATAACTCTAGATCTTGTGCACGTAACCTTCGCTGCCGTCTCTGCGGCTCTACACAATATACTGAGGAAGGTTATACCAATTACTGCGCTGCCGCAGCTCCTCATACCTGTTCCCCAAGATGTCTACACTGCCATAGCCTACACCCAGCAGATTACGACCAATGCCTTCTCCGGCCTAGCAAGCTAGGTTCTCGTTTTACAAAGGTCTAGCAGGCTGAGATCCGCAAGACCCCTATCTAAGGCACGGACTGAGAGTAAATGCTGTCCCCGGCCTCTCGCAGCCCCTGAAACTGGAACCCCTGGGACTCGCAAGACCAGGACATGTCTATCGAAAGCCATCTTACAATCTCCTTATTTCGCCCAGTTACTCCCCCTTAACAAGGACCAGCAGATTCCCTTCCAGTTACAGCTAGGGCAGTCCGTTTTGCTACACCATTACAAAATTAATTTGGAATTCTAACGAATGAAAAACTATAAGATTCTAAAATCATTAAACAGATTCTCTCTTAATACTCCAGCTGAATGTAGGCGGCAAAGTTACAGCTCACGAAATTGCTCTATCTCAGGTACACACCCAGAGTACCGACATTATCTTGATACAAGAGCCTTATATATATAAGGACCTTACCCGCAAGATTGCCAAAAGATATCCCTCATACGAATGTTTCTCTCCAACTGACAATTGGGTAAGAAACGGCCGACCTAGAGTTCTAACCTATATCCGAAAGGAAAAGAGTATACAGTCCTCTCAGCTTCGCCCTAATAGTATCGATTAAGAAGCACTATCAGCTCTTCTCCTTTTCTAGATCTCTGCACGTTCAGAGCAACCTACCCTGATCTTTAATATCTACAATGCTCCTGCTACATCTTCGATCAGACCCGGTAAGACTGTACAAGAACTCATTAAACTTCCTGATTCCTATTTTACTCAACTAACCCTGTTAGCAGGCAACTTTAACCTGCGATATACCAGATGGCAGCCTTCACTCCAGCGAAACCACTCTATCTCTGCTGAGCCAGCATCTGAATGGCTAAACCAATAGAAACTAGTGTTAATCTCCGAGATCGATACCCCTACGCACAATAGAGGCAATATCCTTGACCTAGCCTTCGCATCAGGCTCTCTTGCTCTCACAGAAGCACATACCAGAGTCGCACGCCACCTAGATGTCACATCTGACTATTACCCTCTTCTTACTACCCTCCCCTGGTAATAAAGATACCCAGAGGCCCCGCAAAGGCTTAAGCTCAGCATTCTAGACACTACCTGTTTCTAAACTCTTTTAACCCTGAATATTAATGCCCTTCCAGTAATTGCACGTTTAGAAAAAGAACTCGATCATCTTGCAAACGAGATTATTTCAGCTATATAAAATGCATACAAAGTCTCTGCACGCAAAACTAGACTACAGGGAGGGAGACAGCCCTGGTAGAATCTAGACTGCAAGGAAACACTCTTGAAATATCGGACAGGTCTCTACTTATAAAAAGATTTCCGTCGGGTGGTAAGGCAGATACAGCAAAACTACTTGAAAGATAAAATAAACTTAACAACTACAGCTAAAGAGATATTCGACATATCCAAATAACATAGAACAATAAGATTATATTGTAGTCTCCCATTGGTATACTCTCAGCAACCAGATAACCCACCAGCAGTAGATATATAAGCCAAACGTGATATCTTAGCTCGCAATCTTCTGCAGAACTCTGCAGAGGCAGGAAATATACTACTTGATTTACCAGAAGTCTCATTCAGGATCCTGCAATTCTCAGAGATAATTATGGCCTAAATAGAGAAAGCTATCCTGCACGCAGAAAATATAATTTTAGGAAAGGATAAACTACCGATTAGCATCTTTAAGATAGTATAACCTACAATTAAAGATAGAGTCTTTACTCTCTTTCAAAACTGCTTATCAGTAGGCTATTACTCTCAATGTTTCCGCTACGCAATCCTGGCGATTATTCAGAAACCCAATAAGGCAGACTGGTCTAGCCCCAGGTCGTACAGGCCGATTGCCCTTCTTTCAGTCTTAGATAAAGGCCTAGAACGCCTCCTAACGCAGAATATGGCTTGGATTGCAATCTATCATAAGATACTTTCTAGCCAACAATTTGGGGCTCTACCTCTTCGTTCAGCAGTTAACCTAACCACATGCCTGCTGTATGATACAGAGCTAGTACTGAATCAGGATAAGATTGCCTCTTTACTGACTCTCGACATCAAAGGAGCCTTCGATGGGGTCTTTCCTAGGAGGCTAATCTACCGATTACGCACGCAGGGCTGGCCTGACAACCTAATCCGCTGGATAGCTTCCTTTATTACAAACCGCACAGTCCAGATCCGACTAGACGGCGAATTAGGGCCCCTAATAGACATCTTCTGCGGCCTGCCGCAAGGCTCACCCATATCCCCCATCCTGTTTATGCTTTATATAGCCCCATTGTTCCTGCTAGGCGAGCCCCTGGCCAGATTTGGCTATGCAGACGATACAGCATTTCTTGCAATATCTCCTACTCTGGGGGAAAACTGCTAAACCCTATCAAACTCTCTGCAAGAGGCCCTGGACTGGGGCTTATCAGAAGGGATAATCTTCGCCCCGGACAAATATAAGCTACTACATTTCTTACGGTATCAGGCTGATCAAAACCCTAACTGCACACCTTCAGTATCGGCAGGCACTGTTACAGTCAAAGAAAATACAATTCGCCCGTATCTACGCTGGCTGGGAATCCTCTTTGACAAAAAGCTCAGTTTCAAATACCATGTCCGTGAAATAGCCTCAAAGGCTCTGACTGTGGCAAATGCACTCCGTTCCCTCAGTAATATAGTGCGAGGGGTCAACTCTTACTTCATGCGGCAGGCAATCAAGGCCTGCGTACTCTCTAAAGTCTACTATGGTACTGAAACCTGGTGGCCAGGCTACTCTCGCCCTGATCCACGCACAGGAACAGTCTCAAACCGGGTCCAGGGATACCTGGATAGAGTGACCAAAGTTATACTAGCAGGGGCTAGAGCAGTTCTCCCAGTTTACCGCACAACTCCATTACCGGCTCTCTACCGGGAGTCAGGGCTCCTACCAGCAGAGATTGAGCTAGACTATAGAGTCGCTACTGCTATAGTTTGCATACGCCGTCTTGACCCATATCACCCGTTTCGCAGGAGAGCAGAAGAGGTAATCCGCATAAGCCTCAAGAAAAGCCGTTTTGCGCGACGCGTACGAGCCCTGCCGAAGTTAGAACAAATAAACCCTTTGCAGAACGCCCCTTGGCTCCTGCAAGAGTCACGTGAAGCAGCCCAACAACGGATTAGAGCCCCAATAGGCCAAACCAAGGCACAGGCGGCCAGCAGTTTCCAGAACTTCTATACCTCTCTTCCCCAGACAGATATAAAGGTCTTTACAGACGGCTCAAAGCTAGCAAATGGAATGGCAGGCGCGGGTTTTGCTCTATACCAATCCGGAAAGCTATACCAACAGTCTTCCTTTTCTCTAGGTCCCAACAAAGAGGTCTTTGATGCAGAGGCTGAAGCAGCACTAACTGGAATCAAAGCAGCTCTTAAACTAACTATAGCCTACTTTGCTACCGACCTCTGGATCTGCCTAGATAACCTAGAGGTAGCCACACGCCTTCTCTCAACCTTTTCGGGGTCATCCCAAGAGGTCTTTAATACTTTCCAAGACGTTGCCTTATCCTGGTCAGTACGGGAACGATATCTATACACCGGCAGCAGCTCCGTCCGGATCTGCTAGGTCCCTGGTCATATGCAAATACCAGAGAATGAAGCAGCAGACCAGGCTGCTAAAAAAGGAGCAGGCATAACTTTCCTTTTGCAAGTAAACACTCGTACGCCTCATTAAGGCAGCAGACAAAGGACGATACTATATCTGCCTTTCAGGAATACTGGCAGCTCAAGGCCCCGCAATCCTACCAGGATCTCTGGATTACCAAATCCCCCAGATGTCCTGCAGAGCTAAAACTCCCGAGATACCTCCTCGCACGGATTCTAGCGGCCCGTACGGGCCATAGAGATTTCGCAGCCTATCACGAACGTTTTAATTATGAAAACGCACACACTTTTTGCTGCTACAGAACAAAGAAAATCTCAGTCCACTTCCTCTTCTGCTATATTGCCAAAAGATGCCTGCCTCGACTCCTAGGTTCTCTTTCCGAGGCAATCCCTTTCTTATTAGGCACCCCAAAGGGCGCAGCCAAGTTAGCTGCCTGGCTAGCTGAAACCCGCTTCTTTGAGGATATCTGTACCCGATCTCCCTTACCTCAACCAGACTGAGGCCTCCCCCCCCCCCAAAAAAAAATATGCGATAGCGGTAGTAGGTATGGTCACGGAGTGTAGAAGGACCTTTGCAGCTGGCATTTCTCTCTTTCTCTGCATTGCAGAGACCTTTTCCTTTTGACTGAAGCAGCTATTAAACGCGCCGAAGTCCCCTATCTGTACATAGAACTAGCAGCTACTTAGTGACGCCCAGGGCTTACCCCCTGGCGGCCTTTGCCCCAACAGGGGACGGTAGGACACGTGCTTAGGCGGTGTCACACGGCCGTAAAATACAACAACAACAAAAAATAACTAATGTTGGCCGTTTCTCTAGGCGTAATTGCTAGTAATGTTACCCATAGGAATATCGAATAATGAAGGTCTGATTCTTTCAATCTAGCTGCACACGGTGGTTTAAATACATGAAAAATTAATAAGCAATCTAGCCTGAAAAAGGCAACTAGAAGAGATATAACTTTTGAACCATGGAAATAACAGAAAAATCTGCATAATCCTCGGGGATCGGTGTTACCAATACCGATATCCGGAATAGGAAGGTTTCCTATGTGACTAGCGGTCACATACGGTTGACACAAACTTGCCTTTTACTAAGCTCCTTTGTAGACCGTCACAGGTGCGCTTCTACCCGCCAAGCCCGTTTAGTAGGACAGTTACCAACTGAGCTACTAAAAAAGACCAGAAAACCAAGTCGAAGACTTGGTATGCGCATCGCTCTATATAGTAAGCCTTGGTCAGTTCGTCACATACTGTAAGATATTTAAAGGTCATGCGAATCATTCGGTTTATTAATCAGCCTTGGCGGACTCTATACCTAGAACGGTTCACGCGAGCTTATCGATAAGCTCGCGTGAACTGTATCCACACCGCACCGGGAATCGCATCGGTTAGAAGAGATTACTAAGAAACGCCCCCGTAGCATAGAGGAGACGAATATATGGAATAAGACACCTCACAGGGCAAGCTAATCATATCCATGTAGTGCATATACTTGTTTGAAGGGTGAGTTACCATCTGGCCGGGTATACATCTTTGTACCAAGTCGTACGAGCTCGACCGTACCAGGAGAATTAGGCTGCTGTCCGCCTGTTGGCCCAACATTGGCCACCCCACGTCATCGGGTCCACCGGGTCAGGGCTTTCCCGCTTCCCCGCCACGAAAACCGGGCTGAGAGCTGACCGGCCCAACCACATCTGCCGCTGTCTCCTGCGCAGAATGGTTAATGTTTAAATCACTACCGGTTTCCACCTTCTAGGATAGCGGAGAACCGGCAGCTTCGCAATGCTACACGACGAGCCTTTATCTTGCGGGCATATCCGCATTTCCGGGGCTTCCGAACTCCGCACACCCATGATCAACGATGATAGGAATCACCGTAAAGCCTGTCCATCCCCTTCGCGAGAGACCAGGGTGTGCGACGCTCATACATCAGCGTTGGAGGCACTGAACGGCTTGTCATACCAAAAACATGAAGTATCCGGCTCCCGGAGTCCCGACGAGAAGGGTCGTCGTCGGCGTGCTGGTAACGTCCCGACCGACAACTTGGGTTGGAAAGAGAGGATCCGTCACTTTACATGGGCCTTCTTCACGTTGACGATGGCCACGGGGGGGATTGCAAATGTGCTCTATTCTGGTAACTATGCACCGGGAGGAGCGCTGGCCAAGGTGATTAATCTGTTACAGTTCCTTATAGGTTCCGCGGCTTAGAGACCATTGGCATTATATTCTTTCTTGTGAACTTGGTTCTCTATGTTGTGATTTGGTGTCTTCTGCTCACGCGATTCTACCTATATCCCTATACGTTTAAAGCATCATTCCTACATCCGACGGAGTCTTTGTTTGTGCCTGCGTCATTGGTCTCATTTGGAACCATACTGGTCAACATCTCGCAGTACGGACCGGACCATGCCGGCCCTTGGCTGACGACTGCAGTGGGCATCCTGTTCTGGATTGACGCCGCCCTTGCCGTCATCTCTTCTGCGGGGATATATCTGCTCTTGTACATAACCTCGGAGGTCGTTGCCAGGCAAATGCTAATATCTGCACAGATGGTCCACACAAACGTTCACGATTGCCCAGATGACGCCTATCTGGATATTTCCGGCGTATCCTCTGCTGATCATCGGCCCCCATGCAGGCATTCTAAGCTCCTCGCTCGAGCCTGTCCGTGCTCTACGGATCATCATCGGTGGAATCACGATTCAGGGCGTGGGCTTTCTGGTCTCGTTGATGGTGTACTCTGCTTTCATTTATCGCTTGATGTCGCAGAAGTTACCCCGAGAGAATCTTCGGCCGGGAATGTTTGTCTCCGTGGGTCCCAGTGCATTCACGGTATCAGGCATCGTCAATATGGCATCCAACGCGAAACGGTGCTTCCCAAGTGATTTTATGGGGAATGGTGCCTTGGCGGCGGAGGTTGTGAAAGTGGTGGCAAATTTCTCCTGCTTGTGGCTCTGGGGGTGCGTATAATCAAAAGCATGTTGTAGATCCGCGCTTACAGACCATATAGACTAGCCCTTTTCTTCTTCTTTATTGCCACCTTCGCGCATTGGTCCGTGGTCGGGCCGGGGAAGATGGTCTTTTCCATGGGTTGGTATTCATTTGTTTTCCCCAATACAGCCTTGGTGACTGCGACCTTCGCTATTGGCAAAGCCTTCTCATGCAAGGCAATTAATATCGTTGGCTGTGCTATGGTGTTTCCGCTAATTCTGACATGGATCTTTGTGACCTGCATGATGGTTCGCGCGATTGTCATACGCCAAATCCTATGGCCCCAGAAAGGCGAGGATAAGGATGAGGGTGGATTTGACGTGAACCGAGTCAGGTCAGGGTCAGGGCTAAATAGGTCTGCTGGGGAAGTTTGATCGTGCACAGGGTTTATCGAATGTGTCCATGTAGAAAGAGTTACGCTGTTTATAGGTTTACAGGTCCTCAGGTCACCAGCTGTAGGGCACAAAATAGTATAGGTATATGTTATCAAAGAATAAACAATGTAAATACAATAAATCGTACAGAACACTTCCCACCAAAGTGCTGGCATACATTCGTTTAGTCAGTCTTCATTCAGCGCATCTTATATGTTGGGATAATAATTTGGTTAGTCCACTTCAGTTATTTCATGATATTGGCTATTAATAGTTCTTTCTATATCTATGATGCAACGCGGCTTTGCCCGGTATTCCCGATTGCCACGCGGAGCTTGCTATACCGCGCGCGGCGAGAATAATGTCGCAGATAGCAACCTGGAGCTCGGAGAGATGGGTGAGAGAAGGGGGGAGTGGTGTGGGGCCCCAGGGATCTCAAAGAGTGAGGCTACGACTGGGCTGGATGGTGCAAGATGGCCACCATAGGAGGAAAGAATCTGATCTATCGGAATCCGCTATAAGCCCGGATCAAATAAGTTTTAGGTGGCGTAACTGGCTCCAGATTTGCGCTTGGCTCCTCGTCGATCAAAACACTAACCTATATTATATGTTTAAACCACGGTTTGACTATGGATTCATCATTGACAACGGCACTACGCAGGTATTGTGATATATCTACGCCCTGAGCCATGAACAAGGCTGGGAACTATTGCGGAATCGGGAAAGCTTACGGGGGCTGATCTGCAGTCAGTGTGTTCCATTGCCTGCTTCCGAATGCCACGTATTGTTTGTAGGTTGGCCATTGATTTTATTCATTACTATTGGCTCTCCTTTCTAACGCGGTGATTCAAAAACACATACAGGCGGGATGACTTAGATAATCCTTGAAGAGCCAGTTATCTTTCCTAGCTAGGTACACCATCGTGTGTGCGTTCGAACAGATTTGTTGGAACGGTGGAAGGCGGCGCTGAGGGTGGGCGTGAAGGGTTTGTTGTTTTGTGGATCTGTCACCAATGGCAAATGATCGGTCCATTGCGCCCACTCTTGATCGTCAAAGAACACGTTAAGTTGATGGAACAATCACGCGAACTACAGTGTACTCCATCTTTTAGAAATGACCCATAAAAATGTTCCGCCCTCGAAAGCTTCGGTGTCCTATTATAATCCGTCTCGTACTATATATGTTCATGCGTTGTCGCGTTGTAATGGCATATGCTAATTGCATATCACGGTTTCTCTCTGACTACTCGGTCAGATCAGAAATCATAATCTTGGTATAGAATGCTAAACTCTGAGAGCCGGTAGTTTTGGGTGTTAGCGGACCACAGGAGGATTTTGTGATAATATCCCTGTGCACGACTACGCTATTCATAGCTCGCTCGTTCGCAGCTTGATCTCAGCCTCTCAGCGCAAAGTAACATAAGGCAACTTAGCAAAGAACCACAGTATCGGATTGCCTGGGCTATTTCTGGCGGCGCCGCGCGTAATTGCGTAAATTGGCTGTGCCCAGGCAGAGTCCCACTTCAGCCTGTAACCCTGCTTGGATATTATCTGCCAGAAATAGAACAGACCGAAAATGAATAATCTGGACTGCAGAGTACTTTTATACGTAAAAGGCTAACACCTTGTACTCATCCAATTATGGCTCTTGTTTTGAAACGAAACAAAGCAAAGACAGGCACTGCGGGATCTGATGATCTGCCATTCCCCCAGCATTCCGAGGTGGAACGAACAGCCTTGTCGATATTTGGCATGCAATGCTACCTTATTTCAAACGTATCAGTAGTTGCGCCTTAGGCTGAAAGACCCGATGCTTGCTCATTTGCCGCGACAATGAACTATGTTTCGGAATATAATGATTGTTAGGCCTCAACTCGATCTGGTAGGCTTGTTAAACTTGATCTCGAATTCTGGATAGCATTAGCTGTCAACTACAAGTATGCCGCCATTGTCAGTGGTTCTGATTTTTTTCATATTGAATAGGTTAGCAAGTGCATTTACTACGTTCAACACAAACTGCACGCTCCCAGCGGACCATGAAAGGGTCAATTACGTCTCCTCGCCAAACATCCGCGGCACTCTGAGCATCGTTTGGTCCTACCTCTTCACAATCATCGCCTGCACATGGACAGTTCAGCACCCGGATGTCCCTTGGCAACGAAAGCACTACGACGATGGCAAGCTAGGGTGGTGGAAATGGAAATTAGGAAATGCGAAACACTCGACTGCATGGTTTTTGGGGACGATTATTGCACCGGAAATCATTCTTGTCAAACATCTGGCTGATCTTTTGGAAGCGCGGAAACTTGCCAAGGATTTCAACAAATACAAGGGTGAAGGAGGGATTGTATGGACGCAAACCCACTTGCTATTTGCTATCATGGGTGGTTTCGTGATGAGAACGAACGTGCCAAAGGAAAAGATCTCGCATCGAGAAGGCCTCTCAAGCCAGCCTAAGAAAGCAGGTGCTTCCTCGCCACCCTCAGAAAACCCCGAAAATTCTGCCCCAAATGGCGATACCATTGTCGTAGAAGCTGGGCTCCTAGAAAGCGATATCGACAAGCCTCCCCTCGCCAGTACGCCAGGAGCCAAACCTGCAACCATAAGTGTGAAGAAGGAATATCCCCGCCTGTGAGCCCAAAAGAGATCCTGGGTCTTCTGGAAAACAAAGTCCTAACCCAACTGCCTGATGTCGACATAGAGGAAATAGAGGACAAGTCCAAGTCGGACAACTTGATGCGACTGATCGCGGTCTTCCAGATCCTGTGGCTTTGTATTCAGGTCATTGCTCGTGCAGTGGGGGATTTGGCAGTATCCCAACTTGAGATCGCGACCGTCGCATTTTCTCTCTGTGCAGTCATCATGTACGGACTCTCCTGGAACAAGCCAAAAGCAGTTCAAACTCCAATTACCATCCTACAAGTTCCAGACGATGGGAGGGGGCTTGGACTTGGCAGTATTCTAGAACCAGAAAGAACGCCCGGAAAGGATTATGATTCTTCCAGTGAGAACTCCCATCAGAAAACCCCATCCTGGGCGGGTGACTTCTGGGAAAAAATGGAAAGGCACTGGAGGACCTACATAAAAGCCAACAGCGCCGTCGAGGGAGACACCTTCATAAAGTGGATTGCCAAAGGGGTGATTCTGACTGGAATGCTGTTTGGCAGGGTGCATGTTGTCGCCTGGAACAGCTACTTTCCCACCCACACAGAATTGCTCCTGTGGAGAGTCGCAGCCCTCTACTGTACTTGTTTTCCGTTGGGCCTTTTCGTCTTGTTCTGGATTATGGTTATATTTGCTATGCCCTTTATACAAGCTGGGGCAGCAAATGGGACTGATGAAGAGGCGCACACACCATCTCCTAAAAAGACTCTGGGCTTTATAGGTGGATTGATTATGTTATTTATGTTAATAATGGCTTGTATCCTGTTTTTTGTGTTCGCCTTGAGCTATCCTGTCTTTGTTCTTGCAAGGTTATATATCCTGGTGGAGATGTTCAGAACTGTGGCATTTCAGCCAACAGGTGCGTTTATTGGCACTTGGGCTGTGAATATGCCAAACGTCAACTGATCTCAAGTGCCGGATCCGTCTTAAATGCTATACTCATGTCATCTATAATAAACAATTGCTGTACTTTCATAGGCACTGCCCCGCAATTTGAAACCACCCCATAACAGTCAGCAAAAGAGTATAGATAAAAAATTACAACAACTTTGTATTTAAGTTTGTTTAAGGGAGTTTTCCCATAAAAATGAAACAGAACTAATTATAGGGTAATAAGATATTCCTTCTTTATAACGTAACCGGACAACGAAGCGGCGTGACAACGGGCCGGCGCCGGTCCGCCACCACCACCAAAACGCTCGATCTTCATCAACTTAATCAAAGATAAAGCGATTTCAACGCTCGAAAATGCGAAAAAATGCAGTAAAATTAAATAAGACTCTATTTCCTAACTAGGTAAGACTAGAACTTGAACATTTTAAGCGATTATAGCCTTCCTAACCGCAATTACTGCAGCGAGATAGCCAGCGCGTAAAAGGTCCCTAAATAGCTACAGCAGCTCGATTTCTTACCTCTTCAGCGACCTTTTTATTAGCGATTCAACGTCCTACTTCGCCGCTTAAAGTACCTCCTTCTTGAAGATATCAACGTAGGGCCTTTTTATTCACTTTTTTATATCGATCGGCCGTACGAAGCTGTTGAATGTCACGGGTTTGGCAGAGGGTAGGTGCGCTTCTACCCGCCAAGACCGTTTAGTAGGTCTGTTGGACGGTTTACCAACTGAGCTACTAAAAAGACCAGAATACCAAGTCTTCGACTTGGTATGCGCATCGCTCTATATAGTAGGCCTTGATCAGTTCGTAACATTGAATTTCTTATTAAAGAAGCGTAGAATTCTATAGAGCGATTTTAGCCGCTTTATATACCTTTTCGTAGGCTTATTCTATAAGAAATAATAATAAGCCTAATTCTTATAGAGCTTAAATCTATTCACGTTAATAATTTAATTAATAGAGATTCATAGACGTTTTTCCGAGATAAAACGAATAATTTAAAAGGTTTAAATACATAAAGAATAATAAGCAATCTAGCCTAAAAGGCAGTTAGAAGAGACATAACTTTTGAACCATGGAAATAACAGAAAACTCTGCATAATCCTCGGGGATCGGTAGTTACCAATACCGATATCCGGAATAGGAAGGTCTCCTATGTGACTAGCGGTCACATACGGTTGACAGTATCTTTCAATTATGCCTATCGAGTTGTGTACTTCAATAGGGATGCTTCTTGTGCTAATATTTATAGTCCTTGCATAGGTCTTGAATTCTTTGCTTACGAAGTTCTTTCCGGCGTCATGTGTAATCAAATCTGGAGGGCCTAGATAGGTATCAATCCAGCACATTTGCAGCATATCCCAGGTGTCTTTAGCGCTAACGGAATGGATTAGTACGCTGTAGCCCTATTGGGGTTTAAATAGAGCCTCACCCTTGCCATGTAAGCCAGTTGACAAGATCGTACGAGGCGTAGTTCTTGAAACCCTGATCTGGATCGACGGCGTCGAAGTTCGCCAGGGGATGTGGAAAAGACTTTGTATTGCTCCAAGGTATAGTAAACATCAAATGTACCGGAACGCTGAGCGCTTGAGCACAGTGAACGTGTGCAAAGCTCGGTGGGTTAGCGATGATAGCATCGGCCACGAATGGATGACCTGTTACCATATCCGGCTCTATACATGAGCTCCAGCAACCATCGGGCATCTCTCGAATCATGACGCGCTTGCGACGGATCTCGCCAGCTCGAAAACTCTCCATGTTAGGGATGAGCCCCGGAGTCTTGACCATGTATGCCATCAGCTCTCTTGGGTCGCCTCCAATTGGGTAGAACTCCAATCCCGGTTCCCTGACGAAATCTTCGAACATGTTGTGTGTAGCCAGACGCACGCGATGTCCGTATCGCATAAGTTCATTTCCGAGGGCAATGAAAGGTTGAACGTCACCCCGACTTCCCACAACTTGGATTACAATGTTCAACTTGACGACCCAACCTTTTGCATTTTCCCTACTTGGTTCTAGATATTCCGACATGTGATCGAGCCTAACGGTGGTAGCATCGGCATCCTGCTCAGAATATTCAGGCGGTGGTGTAGTAGGAACTCTTAGGAAAGGACCAGTATAGAGCTTCAAGAGCCCTCGTACGAACTTTGAGTCCCAGTCGATATCAACGCGGCCAGTATCTAGTTGCCGCAGGTCATAAATCAATAAATCGAACGACAAAACCTGCATCAACATACCTATAGCGAAAGAAAACGGTGAAAAACCAAAAGAAGAAAGAAAGAGTAAATGTACCATTCAGATTGATGCCACTCTTACCCGCTGTCGGGGGATGGGCAGGTGCCTCCATGATAGGCTCACCAGGTAGCTCGAAAACATCTCCGGAATAACCATTGCCAGACATATTCGCGAGAATTTTGTAGATGAGATGAAATAAAAGGCGCAAGAAGATCAATAAAGATGACCGAGCAAAGGAATATTCAGATTGCAAGCATTTGGAAATGATGTTTGACCATTGACCATTGATTACGACATTGAACTTTCTTCAACTTCCAATAAACGAATACGACCCGCTTCTTTTTTTGTTTGGTTGAAGTTCAGGCTAATCTTAAGCTTAAAACGGAATGTGGGGCGTATTCGTACACGTCCAACCCATGGTTATCCTCGACCAATTGCGAGGCTTTTGGAACAAGTAACGAGCCTAGGCATCTTGGAAAGGGTGCTGCTTTATAATTATCTTGGGACCCACAGTCACTGGCTACCAAAAGGGGTACAGGAATAAAATCGCGCTTTTTAATTAATAGTTCACTCATTGTTATATCCACATAGTAAGTTGCGGTGACAGTCTCCTGAATATTGGTAGCTTAGTACGAGCGAAACTGCTGGTTTATACGTCATGTAGGTAATTGCGAGTGGTCAGTGGCGTAATAGTAACGTTGGTCTGTAGCAGAACGCGGTATACGAACAAGAACATTCCATATTCACCTCGTTGTAGTGGCGAATGGGTTCGCTTGTAGAAATCCAGGGAGATCATACGCTTTCGGCTCCGGCTGAGACGGCTCTTGCACTGCCGCGCTTCTTCAACTATATACCTTGGCATGCATTAACTAGTCTTTAAGACAGCTGGTTCCTCGAATCAGAGGGCAAGCTCGTTTACTATAGAACTGTCGTGTTCGTACTTTGCTCGAGCACCGCAGTAGGGATCAGCCTTCGATGTGTCCATGGTATTATGTTACTGCCTGGTCATCAAGTTTCTCAGCTATAAAGCGCTTGGATCTGCCGAGACTGTCTTTAAGATTCACACACAGTCAAGCACTAAAGAGACGGAGAACACATCGTCAACCAGAACCATGAAGAACTTTGCCGGAACACTCATCACCGCGCTCCTCGCCGCTGCCGAAGGAGTCTACGCGTTCCCTAGCACCGGAACTACCTCGCTGAGGAAGGAGGCATCTAAGAAGGACATTCTCATCGGGTCTGGAGCGATCAATCCGACCTACCTCAATGATACTGAGTTCGCGGCCGTCCTTGCCAACCAGTTCAACAGTCTCTCTCCCGAAAATGAGATGAAATGGTCGTTCATCAACCCAGCCAAAGGGCACTATAACTGGGATACCATCGACCACCTCGTCAACTTTGCGGAAGACAACAACATGGTGGTCAAGGGACACGGGCTTATCTCGAGCTGCTGTAACCCTGACTACCTGCTCAACATCACGGACCCCACAGCGTTTCGTGCTGCAATGAAGTCTCACTTTGAGGTGATCATGCACCGGTACCGTGGCAAGATGGATCGGTGGGATGTCGTCACCGAAGCCCTCAAAACGCAGGGTGGCGGCCTGAATAACAACACCTTCTCCAAGGTACTCGGACCCGGCTACATCGAGGATGCCTTCCGCATCGCCCGAGCAGCAGACCCAGGCGCCAAGCTGTTTATCAACGAAGGTCTTGTTGAGGCACTCCCCGGCAAGCGTCAGGAACTCTACGACCTGATCTCCAGTCTCGTGGCGCACGGCGTTCCGATCGACGGAGTTGCCCTGCAGCTGCACATCACACCCCCCGGATCAGCCCCGAGACCGGGCGTCATCACGGAGATGGTCAACTCGTACAAAGCGCTCGGACTGGAAGTGGCCATTGCTGAAATGGATGTCCACACACTCGACGACGCACTCGAAACCGATACATACGGTGCCGTCATCACCGAGGCTCTCAACGCAGGAATCACCGACATCAGCTTCTGGGGCTTCACGGATAAGCACGCCTACACCTGGGTGCCGGGCGCAAAGCCATTGATGTTCGACCAGTGCTATAAGCCCAAGCGTGAGTTCTACGCCACTCACGCTGCCCTAACGAACTTCGTCAGCATTCCCTAGGGAGCTCGAGCACCATCAAGTGATCAGAGATTGCGCTTTAAAAAACTGCGCTCAGATCCCTCAAGAGTTTGAGTGTTACAGGGTTTGTGATAAATCAGATGTTGGATCACTGTAGTTAGGACCTTGACACTTATCGGTCAGAAGGAGGGCTTTAAGGGACTACACACATAGCATATCTAGCTTTCTCTTCGGGATTCAGACTTGTCGACAACTGCACTATACGTCTGCTTCTAAATTATATTTCTATATTTCCTCGCCTCTTACCTTGCCTAGTTGATAGGTCAATCTATACTACATTACGATCATAATATTAGCCGTATTTATATAAAGAAAAGCTCAGTATGCTTAATCAAAAGGACGTGCTGTTCCGAGTATGCCACCGCCAACTGCTTCAGTCGTAGCTTATCTACCCCGTGCCTTGTGTTTCTCTAATCTCTCCTGAAACCTCTCGAACCGAATCTTGCACGCCAAAGGGAGCTTTGGTCTTTAGGTCATATCTTATATAGGAAATATTCGCTTTCGGTCACCGTTAGATGGGCCATTATAATTTGGTGCGGTGGAAGCACCGTGGCTGTTTCATCCTGAGCTATATGCCAAGGAAAGATTGCGGAAGCACCACGCATACATTGATTGTATTGCTGAGATGTCGTCTTCCGTTTTGGTTAATCAGAATGATTTTCATAACCCTTGATAAGAGGTGGTTGAGTTGATCGTACGTTCGAAAAACACTGAGAAAAATTTTCAAGATCCATCAGGATGGTTGAACGTTCTAAAAGATCTTTCTTCACGGGGGAAGATAGAAATTTATAGGATAATTGCTTTAAGGCCCAATGGCTATTTATGCAGGAGTCTTGTCGACTCCATGAGAAGTGTTTGACGTCATGACTCCGATCACAGCGTGTTCTCAATTTACATGAGTCATCGAAAATGAACAACCAAGCAAATTGGTATAGAATAAAGAAAAGAAGAAATCTTCCGTTGAGTAAGAGGCTGTGCAGGAAAGAAGGAAGGAGGGATGAATGGATGATTTGTCCTGGAATGAGGGAACGGAGGGAAAGGGGCTACAAACCGTACTACGGGGGACGATAATTGTGACCTCCTGAAGGTGCGGAGGAACGTTCCCAGGTATCCTGCAAGCATTCCTGCCTGAGGCAAAGCCCCAGGCAGTATATAGAGCCCCTGGATCCTCCCTCATAGAGAGCCTTTCCTCCCTATGGGAAAATTCCTTGACTACGAGTCATAAACAAACTTGTCTTTTACTAAGCTCCTTTGTAGACTGTCACAATACATACCTATCTTCAGGGTTTTGTGCCTTACAAATCACGAAGATGAGCCGCCTCCTATGGAAACCCTCGGAGCCGTGCAGAAGAGATAAATACGATCATTAAAATTGCATTGCTAGTGTGACGAACTGACCAAGAACCACTATATAGAGCGATGCGCGTACCAAGTCGTTGACTTGGTATTCTGGCCTTTTTAGTAGCTTAGTCGGTAACCGTCCTACAGACCTACTGAACGGTCTTGGCGGGTAGAAGCACCTACATGATATCGAAATGTGTATGGTATTGATGACACTTTGTTGTGCTTATTGAAATATATCAAGAAGTTAACGCTACGAATACCTGTTTTTCGCCTTTTTCCAGATAGCAGAAATAGGTAAATTCTTTTCATTCCTACTTGACACTATACAGAACGGTCGAATGTATACTATAAAATAACACTAACTACTCCATTCAAAGCTACCTTCCTCTTATCCAGACCTCGCCCATTCGATATCGACATGTCGCAAGATAACTGCGTGGCTCTCTTAGAATTGGTAAAACCGAAAGATAATACTCCGCTCATAGTCAAGCATAATAGAGGTTAAAAAAATGAGATACCTAGCCCAGGGCAATAATCAGACAGATCCAAAGTCTGTTTACTGTTCACCTCGTAACATTCCTTCTCTGAAGATGGAATCTTCCCGAATAGCCGGAGAGGAAAGATCCAAAAGCCAAACACGGGCTTTACAGCTTTTTCCAAATCCTCATATTTGTTCTCCCTATCCAAAGCGCCTACCATCTCATAATAAAATTCATTTTTAATGCTCGGGCTGCGTTTGGCCCAGCATCCATTTTTGATCTCGTTATCGAGCCGCTATTTCTCAGTCCACTCGTCCTCTTCCGCTTGTAACCATCGGCTGGCACTCTCACGGTCCTGGATCTCGCAACTTGGTGCAGTTAGTTCAAAGGCCAGGATAAACTGGTAGGTAATCTGGGAAACAGAAACACTCCATCTATCTAACAGTTTTTGCCAGTAATAGGCTATCTGTATCGGTCTACCTCCGACATACGTTTGTTTCAGATCTTCTGAAATCGAGCGAGTGTCGTGTTGCAGGCGCTCAAATACTGGTGTAACGGTAACAATTGGAAACGATCGATTAAAGATACATTTGCGGGAATCGGTTACTGGGATACCGCTTATTAATCCCAAGATACGACGCCCTGCTCTCGTTCTGGTAATAAAAAAGACTTCTCGTAGCTGCGTAAGGGTCTCTTGAAAGACTTGCCGAATCTGAATATCGACATCCACAGGATCGATTTGTTCAAGGTCGGTCGCTGACAGACTACCCACCCCCCCAATAGCTAGATTAAGTAACCCAACATGAAAGGGATCACATGTCTTTTTCAGATAATATGCTGTGGCAGAAATGTGGGTCTACCGAAGAAGTGATTATTCAACTGAGTTATATGATCATATTCAAATGAATGAAGGTCTTGATTCTTTCTAACTACACGATAAAGAAGCCGATATTTATGCAATTTCAGGGGCTTCATGGTCGTCATAAATGAGCGGAATTGCACGATTTATCGTCATAAATCAATGCGGTTGCATGATCGATCTGGTCAAGCAAGGCGATGATATAAGCGGTTTTAGTCATCTACCGCGGCCACATATGCTAGGTCAAACAGATCGTCCCCTCTCCATGACTCGGATGCAATCTCCAGGAAATCATATTCAGGGTTAAAGTATAAAACCCCCGGTTTTGCATTTACCGACTTTCTAATTGCCTCGTAGACGTACTCATCTTCTGGAGCATAGCTGAATTTGCATAGGATCTTCACCCGGTAAAACTGCAGCGCAGTCTGTCGTGATTCTTGATTGACTCTTAACAACGTGCTCAATGCTTTTCGTCTATCAACCATAATCTGATACCGCGGCATCTCGCCATCTGGTTTAGGTCGCTGTGGCGTGAAATGATAATCTTTCTGGAAATAGATTTTAATCAGGCGCTCCCGTTTTAACGCGTGGCACCATATTTGACTGCGGATTTCCGGGGGCAGTAGGGAGAAACTGGGGAACGTCGAGTTTTCATTCCCAGATGTTCGAAGATAGTTGAATATCTGCAAGTGCGGTTGCGAGGCTGGGTTTGAAGAGGTCATTGTTATCTTTTCTCTCTCGGAAGTATAAGGGATAAACTAAAGTCAAGCTATTTAATGAAAGGCGCTTTCGTTGAGATTGACAGAGATGGACGACACCTGACCAGCAATGATTAGTCTTGCTCCGACTGGGGTTGAGGCTTAGTCAGAGTAACTTACTTTTGTAGATTGAAGTTGGGCGTATTTTCGGGTCCGTATACCCCTGTAGGTTGGGCCCAACACTTCATTATATAACTGCAAGGGGAGAGCTGAGATTTGACTGGAATCTGGTCGAAGGTCCGCCCCATTCGCGCCGGCCCGGCCCCCAGCTATCCCCCGGTCGATCGTGGTTCTCCCCTCATTCAGGGACGAGGTCCCATATACCAATTTCGTTTAATCTCACCAACTTTCATGGCCCCCTCCTGTCATTTGACGATGTTGGTTTTCCTGTTCAGCTACAGGATCTGCTTGGTTCGATGGGGAAGGAATCCCTTGGCAATATTCAAGGTCACCAACAGATACATGTACAGCCCCAGGAAACCTATTACTTGCTCTGGTTAGTTGCCAGATTCTGCCCTATCACTACAAGTATAGACTTATGTGTGCCTTGTCAGTATCCTGACCTGAGACTGTTTGGGCCAGGAACGTGTCTGACTGTACTTCTTGAATACCATGCCATAGCTCCCACAGACGAACATTGCCCCCAACATAACCCAGCATTGACCCCCCAACATGTCTGAGCATTGTAGGGATTTACCTAAATCTGATGCCCATTATGAGACATAGGGGAGCGAGATCGAATGGACTTTGCATATATAAACCTCGTAGATTACCCGGTTTGAATCTATCCAATCTATCTATCATTCCTTTGTCCCTTATCACCAGTCAGTCTTTACTTTATCACTCTCTTTTGAATTTTCCAATCACTCTTTTCTTTCTTTCTTTTTCGTTACAATGAAACTATCCGGCCTCTGGGTGAGGCACGTGGCACTCGGGCTGCTGTGTCTCTTGCTCCTGTCTGCATTCCAATCAGCCTCTGCTCTGCCGGGCAAAAGCAGAGGGATTAGCAGTCACCGCTCTGGCAGCGGTAAAGGGAGCCATGGAATAGGAGGTCTCCTTTCTGGCCACGATGACAAGAGGAACAATGGCAATGGCAAACCCGGTGATAAGAACCCTGGCAAAGGCTCGAAACACGGCAAGGATAAATGTAAAACCTCCAAGGGTAGTTCTTCCCGGGGCCGAAAACCTTCTCGACGAGAAATCACAGCCCGAGATCTTGTCCTACGCGCTGGAATCCCGGTTCCCCAGGATGGCACGCGAAATTCAGGGCCTGGCCAAGCGCTTTATACCAAAAATCTTCGAACGTGCATCGGCATTGTTATCACCGGAGATGGGGGCATTTTGCCGCACTAGATGTTGTACGTATCTGCCACTAAGAATCAGGCTAATGAGCAAATCTCGAAGCTGAAGAAGGATTGGTCCTTCATGGGTCCTAAGGAAAACGTGAAAATTTACCTCAGCTCCCCGGATCCTGATCCCTGCAAATCGGACCCCGGCGCCAGAGACCTGATCGAGCAGAGTCAAGAAGTCGCTGAGCTTATTGAGCGTGAGCTGAAAGACCTCACCGGTAGTACTTCTCATGTGACCCATCGTCCTGCCCGCGATAATCCTACGGGACATGAAGGGACTATAGAGCTTGCCGGAGATGGCACAGTGTATGTGGAAGGCAGCAGAGTGAATTAATAGATGCAGAATTCCGGTGTGACCGCAATGTCATAGCCGAATACTTGAAGCAGGACCAGGATGGAGGGATGATGTAGTAGACTTCTGACAAGTATTTGTACATCATCTTCCTGTGTTGTGTGGTTTTTGTGTTGCTTTGATTTATATAGGGTCGTGTTAGACCGACACCCAAGACTCTTTCTCTTGATCTGAATTGCTTAGGATCTCTTGATGATCGCAGCCTTCTTCCTCATCATCACTTATTGGATCAACCTCATTCAGTGAGATAGAAGGTTTCCACGTTTCCTTAAGCAAAGTAGCATCTCCAGATTCAAGATACTCTTTAATTATCTCAAGCTCGCTTTGTTATAGATCAAATCTTGATGAAAAGGAGTGTAGCATTAGCTCACAGATCGTATAAGGTTTTAATCAGCCTCGTTAATAATAACACATTTTACGAACACTATTAAATTGCTGCTCAACACCAGCACCACTTGCTGGCGTTAAGAGAATATTACGTGCTATTGCTGCAAGCACTGGATACTCATGCTCATGTTCTTCCCAAAAGAGTCGAGGATTACCCTTCGTAAGTCCTATCATATTGGTTAATAAGAAATAGAAATAATAAAAAGAAGACTAACCTGTGCCAAGATAGCGAGTAATATTATAAATAGGTTGGTCGATCTCTGATTGAAGGGAAGCCTGTGAATCAATTAGAAGAGCAAGATCATGATTTATAGGTTCATGGTAAGATTGATTCAATAAGAGCCCTATTTCAGGCTGGATACGCTCCTGATATCGATCGAATTCATATTGTAGAATATCACGATACTTCTTCATCCAGTGGGCCTTATTGCCATTCTCAGAGTATTGACCCAGGCCAGCGGGGATCACCAATATGTCCCCAAGACATTTAAGATTGCACGTACAGCCATCCTGAATAAGCCACGCAAAGAATTCTAGGAGACGGCAAAAATATGGCAGCCGATAGCACTGCTAAATACACTAGGAAGATCTCCGAAACTATAACGCCGCGATATCTGCAAGAACTGGCAGAGTCCAGGAGACTCTTGCCGAAATGCCAAATGGGAGCCAAGATAGACAGGTCCACTGAGTTCGCTCTGGACCTGATACTGTCTGTAATACGAACGGTATAGAACGCAGGGCAAGTAGTAACTCTGCTGTCTTTAGACATGTCCGGAGCTTTTAATAACGTGATCAAGACTAATCTTGTTAAAATACTACGCAGGAAAGGAATCCCAGATGGCATTATCGGCTGGATAAACAGCTTTATGACAGACCGCTCAGTTATATTCATATTTCAGAAGAGAGGGTCAGACTCATTGCCTACCAAGACGGGGATCTCCCAAGGATCTTCCATTTTACCTATTCTCTTTCTATTTTATAATTCCGATCTCATCGACTCATGCAACCTTACCGACCTAAGGGCCGTCGGAGTCAGCTTCGTTAATAACGCGAATATGATAGCCTGAGATCCGACTACGCAATCTACCTGCCGGACACTGGTTACGCAACATGAAAGATGCTTGGGGTGGGCCACCGCCAATGAAGTCAAATTCGCACCGGAAAAGTACGAACTGATCCACTTCTTACGCCGTAAGAGGGATGGCATTAGCTTACCGATATATATTGGGCCAGTGACCAAGCACCCGTCCAAGAGCGTCAGGGTCCTGGGACTACACCTAGACACGAGACTTAACTGGGAGGCTCACGCAGCGGCGCTGCAAGAAAAGATAGAGTCCTAACATCTAGCTCTACCACGCGCAATTATGCGCAAATAAGCCTTTTTGCGCGTCCCTGCGCAGAATGGGTTTTGTCATACATCGCGTTTCAGGAGGTCAAAGATAGGCAGATCCATTCCTTACAGGGGTTTTGGACAGCAGATAGTCTAGCATTAATCACTACACACCCATTCTCATTCTTTCTTCAAAAGACGTTCCGTCATGCTCAGAGCTAGTAGAGAGGCCCGTCAAGTAGCTTCTGAACAATACCCTATATACGGCCAACCAAGCGGCCGATCGCGATACTCTAGCCGAAGTTAATATCATCCTCCTGAACACTATGGCCCACCGCAAGAGCAGTACGAATATCACCAACAGCACCAATGCAGTCGACCCGAACAGAAGTATAACTAGCAGTACGGGTGGCGACAGCAATCATCCCATTGCAGCCAAATGTACGACCCGCCGCAGTAGTATTGGGGACAGCAACCACAGGCACTCCCACTCAACGGACCCTACCCGAGTAATCAAGTAGCAGCCCAGCAAGGGCAATTCTAAGTCCCAACACAGTTACCTCAGCTGCCGCCACAGCAGTCAAGTGGACCTCGGCTCTGCGTTATTCCTCGTGAGTATAAAGCCTATTCCAAGACTAGCCACCAGATGCCGGTCCATGGCCCAATGGGTCCGTCTGAAAGTAACATCCACCCTGTTTTGCAACGCATGAGCTCATTGGGAAAACGAGTGATGTTGTTGTCGTTTGATAATGTAGAGGCAACAACTATTCCTGATGGGTTTTGGAAGAAATGGGGTGCAAAGGAAGCTAGTAAGGCTGAACAGAAACAGAATGAGATGATCACGAAAGATCAGGCTAAGCAAGAAAGGAGGTCGAGAAGGAGACCAGGTCATGGAACTGATAGGAGGCAGCAGAAGCAAGAAGAGAAGAAGGCAAAGGAGACAAATAAGATCCAGTGGATTGTCGTCGCTGCATATAAGGAAAGGGCTGGAAGTGATGACCAGTGGGATTCGGAATCGGACAGTTCGGATAGACACAAGCATTAGGTCTGGGCATTTCTTTCTAATTTTTTTTGTAAATTAAGAAAGTCGAATAATAAGTATGCACATATTGATGGACGAGCGAGAAAAAAAAAAAGACAAAGAAAGACTGGCATGCCTATACAGAGCGGTTTTTACTGAAGCGATTTTCTATGATCAGGACTTCCCGCTGATGCCGTTCGAATCGGTCCAGTAGATACTTCCCGTGTATTTCATTGCTAGCTGCTGCCTGGAAGATGTTGTCCGAGATCAAAATTAGACCACACCGATTGAGAAGGAAGAAGACTGCCTCTTTGCCATACTGAGCAGCGGCGACGAACACTCTTTCCGTGATGGGTGCGCTGTATTTGAGGTCGTCGAGAAGGAGGGATAACACTTCGCATCTTCCCCATCTGTTGCCGGCCGCCGCACATATGATATCCTCAGGAATAGGAACATTCTCATCCCTCCGCGTAACGAGAAAGGCAAATGTGTCCCTTACGTCGGCGGCGGCGGCGGCCAAAAGACCCTTTTCAATCGTTTGTTGTGTGGGCTGCTGGTGTCGCAGGATCAATTCCAAAACCGCCTTTCCATGCACACAGTTCGTTGCGGCTGCTTCAATGACATCGTCTGGGAGTATAATCTCGCGGCCAAGATGGGCCAGAAGTGAGGAGACAACACTACAGTCAAAAAGCTGGCATATTGCGGCCATCGCCTCCCACTGCATGTTCACCTGTGTTCGAGGATAGCCGAGAATCTGAGAGAGGGTACTGTCTTTGTTTGTTGCGGACGCGATCCTGACGATCCCTGTAGTAATTCTGATCGCCTTCCTGGGTCTGAAGTCGCAGAGCAGCGTGATGATATCTTCAGCCCTTTTCTCACTTACGAACGCCGCCTCAAGTATCCATTCCGGAAGATAAATATGCTGTGGGAATCGGTTTAACAATAATTCGATCACATCTACCCCACTGTGGGTATTGACTGCTGCTTTCTTGACAAGTGTTTTATGTATGTGAAACGTATTCCACTTCCAATCTAGGAGGACTTCCATTACATCCTTAGCGTAGGTTTCGTTACCTGCAGCGGCTTCAAGCACGGCACTGCTGGGGCACGGCTGTCCTTGGAACTTATCAACAAGCAGCAGCATCACGTTCTTTGCATCAACGACATTTCGGGCGCCAGAAACCAGAATATCCTCAGTAACCGGGGAACTGTGTGGTTGATCGAACATGACGGAAATGTGATTTGCGTCGCAGAACGTTAAAGTACTGGCGAGGTTTTCAGGGTTTTCGATTAACATGCCTTCCCACTGCGTTGGAGATAGATACACCAAATTTTGATCCAGAAGTGTGGCTATCTCGAAGTCTCCGGAAAAGACCTCGGATACCGCCACGGCCGCATCTGAGGTTAGATGGTGAACCCCTTGGTTACACTTGGTGAGCAGCAACACCATGATATCTCTGCCACATAGGAAGTTTTGTGCTGCTGAATAAACAACAACCTCGGAGGCAAAAATACTCGGTAGTTGGTCGATAACCGATGGGCTAAATAGACGACAAAGTGAGGCGACAGACTTTGGGTCTATCAGCCATGGGTCGGCTTGCCGAGCGATTGTGATCATCACACTCTCGCCGTGCTGCTCGTTCGCCAAGACAGCATGAATGAGATCGTGGGAAACTACGATTTTCTGCCATTGCTGTGTGAGGAAGTCAACAACTTCGGAATCGAACAGCTGACAAACTTTGAGAATCGCATCCATTGGCATGGTTTTGCCCATACCGCGCTGCCGAAGCAAGGCCATGATAGCTTCTTTGCCGTTGTTGTTCTTGTAAATGCTCTCAACGGTAATCCTCGTTATATCAATGCCACCCTGTTGACTCAACAGGCCTTGGATCACGTCAAGACTGAAGATCTGGCAAATCAAAGCAATCTCTGCTTGACCCAGATAAACTAGCGGGGAGTGAAGCAATACTGACTTCATAACAGCATCTCCTACTCGATTCTCCGAAATTTCCTTGATTTTCAACCTCGAGAGTCTGATCTGGTCGTATTTCCCGAGCAAAGTGCGAGCTATGTCCGTGCCGAATGTAGACAATATCCGGATAGCAACGACCCACGTTGGCCGCTGGCATTGGTCCAAGAGAAGATGAATCGCTCCTTCCCCGAGTGCGGGTCGCTTCCTAAGGGTAGAAACCACACTGTGGGTGATCAGGAGCTGGCGCTGTTGTCGGTCGAGGAATTCTCCGATCAGGTCGAGGCTGGCGACCTCGCACATCTTTTCAAGAATCAGTTGCGGACAAACACCCGCAAGATTGCATTGCTCGAGCAGAAGAGTCATAATCTCGCCTGCCTGAAAGCGGTTGCGCGTGGCCGACCTGATCAACCCAGAGGTCAATGATTTTCGGGTCCTGTTTCGACTCAGAAAGAGTTGCACGGTCCTTGTGTCCAGATACGCGCACATATCCTCTACCATGAAGTCATCCAGCTGCATTTTGTCCCCAAGGCGATCCAGTAGCATAGCCATTATGGACGACCCATTCCCCTGATTTCGAATGACCGCGTGAATTATTACTTCGTTGACCATGAGTTGACGAGGGCGCCGGGTTCCACCGGCATACAACTCGGTCAGTCGAGACATGGCTAGCCCAGTCACGACCGGCTTCTTCGTAACACCTACCTGGAGGTTCGGGCTAATTGAGATGCCCGGATCTCGATCGAGAAGCATCGACAGAATGGATCGCCCATGTGATTGATTCCGAGCCGCAGCTTCAAGAACAGTCTGGTCAATCTCCACTTCGCTCCCACCCTGGGCGAGTAGGATCGCCACCATCTGCTCACCGTGCTCTTCATGCTGGGCTGCTTCTTCGACCACGTCCGCTCGTATTGTCATTCTGCTCACCTTGTTGTTCAGCAGTAGTTTCATGACCTCGACGTGCCCTCGCCTGGCTGCCAGCTGCAGGGGGCTAGGCAAGTCCCTGCCAGCGAAGAGATTGTCGTCAAACCGTGACTGTGGCATTAGCCACTGGAAGAAGGTCCGGCCGTGCTGGATCTGGTCTAAAGCGAATTTCACCAGCCCAACAATCCCAAATGCTGCTGCCACATGTAATGCCGAGATTTGCTCAGAACTAGCAAATTCTGCATTGATATCCCCGCCCCAGGTGGCCCACGCCGTCCTGGCCTTTGATTCTGTACAGAAGAAGCTCTCATGTCGCTTCAGCAGCTGGAATTCGGACTGGGCGTGATGGGCGTGCACTCCCCAATATTGGGACGCGTATTGGAGAAAGCCATCCTCAGGATGTCGAGACTCACCCCATGGGGGCAGACAATCATGGTTTTCCAGCCAGATATCGAGGCAGCGATAGGCCAGTCTCGCGTGCGCCCTCAGATGGTCGATCAATTGCCCACCATCTTCCCCCCGGCGGAGCAAGAAATCTCTTACCGACTTATGGAGCAGCCGAACAATCCCATCTTGCACGATGACCATCAGGCGACACAACTCAATGTCTTCGCGCGTAAAGTTCAGGCGACTTTCACGGTCTTCATCTGGATAGAGGTTACATGCAACCGCCAGCTCGGCGACACTGAGTGGCTGCTGAGTGATCGCCACGACACCCATGATCTGCAAGATTGTCTGATGCTCCTCGCCACCGTCACGGGTGAACGCGGTTTCAAGGAGGTTTTGATATAAAGCGTGCAGCCCTCTGGGTAGCCGCTGAAGGGTTTGGACTGCATTCCTCGACCGGACAGAGGCCAACTCCACGCAGGCGATTCCTACCCAGAGGAAGGTTCCTTCGGCTTTATCTTCTATGATCTCGGAGACCTGGGCGGTAACCTTTTCTGAGTACCGGTTCTTGTCGTGTAACTCAGCAACCTTGGATTGAACAAAGATTTTCAGATCTGCAGCCAGCCGGGGATAACGAGAGAGATCCTGGTTTCTGAATCGGCTCAAATGGCGCCCGATTTCCGGATAGGGCCGGCTCGTAATCAGGATGTGCAAGCGGAGGTGGCCATTTGCCCGGTTGGGGCTCAGGAAGGTCTGATTGAGCTGAGCGAGGAGCATGTCTTGGGACTTTGGCTCACACTCATCGAGCGCGTCGATGATGCAGTATTTGTCCCCACTGGCTGCGTCCGCCCCGATACTCATCAACACCGACCACAATGAATCGAACGAGGAGAAAACGGCCTCTCCTTTCTCTTCATATTTGGCCCACAGCATCTCGATCCATTCCGGTCGTCCTCTGATCAGTTGGTACAGGAGCCCCCGCAGGATGGAAATCGCGCTGCGTCTTTTAGCCGAACTAGAGTCACAGAAGAAATACGCCAGGGACTTGGTACTGTCGAAGAACGAGCGTTTGGGAAGGTCCTCGGTCATTGTGATCACCATCGTCGACTTTCCCGTGCCCGGGTTGCCGTACAGCCACAAGAGCTTTGCCCTGAGATCGACGTCGCCTGTCACCAAGTCGAGGCTGGGCTTGGTGCTTGGCAGTTCCTGGACCCCGAGCCACTGGCGTAGCTCATTAGTGTCCAGGATCCAATCGCTAGTGTCTGCTGCGCGCTCGCCTTTGCGACGCTTTAGTGCGTCTTTATCCTCCTGGGGATCTGAGTGGAACAAGGCTGCGAAGCACACCCTTTTCTCGGCGTTCATCTCCCCTGTGCAATACTGGACATTAGCGCGTCGATTTCCCGAAGGGTGACCTTGTTTGCTACTCACGGCGCTTGTTCCACTGTTTCAAAGACCTGGGCTTCAGCCTCGACAGTAATAGCTTTGAGAATACCGCTGCGGTAAGGGCCGCGTATCCCTGCCATTCCTTGTTCTTGTGGGAGTCGGCATAGTCGCAGATGCCACGAACGACCAATGACGGGAGCTGGTTCATCAGGCCTGCTGCTTCCATCTCAAAACACAGGATCCCAAGCTCCTGACCCAGCCGGTCCCGAGCCTCCGAGTCCTTCATCACCTGGTCTCCCGAGGCGATGATCCCATAGTGAACATGGGGCTCCATCGAGGGTCGAGGGGTACGTGACACCGTCTCACGCCGATCGCATCCTACACAGGAGTCGTTTAGGCCGCCCTCGGCTCTATGGGGGTACTTCGCCAGGAACAAGGTATCCCCGTCCGGACCAGGGCAGCCGAACTTCGCCTGCAAGTCCTGATTCCTGTCCAGCACCTGCTGTACCCCCGACCAGATCAACCCTCCCGCCTCCCCGATTCGACTCATCATCTCCGCCTGCAGGAGCGAGAGATGGGTCAGCAGCAGCTGCGGAGGCTGGTTCAGAGTGCCCGTTGGCTCGAACCGGCCCCCCTGGAGGGCTTTTCCAGCATCATACTGCACGACACCGCTGCACGACCCCGTGGGTTTGCTCACCACCACATCGCCTAAGCGAATATCGTGGCTCTCGCTAGGAACGCCACCGCCGATGCCTACCATCAGGCCCACCTCGAGCCGCGGAAAGGTGGATCGCATCTGGGATAGCACCGTGGTCGCTGAGATGGTCCCGTAGCTCCCCAACAGGAGACCGGCGATCACCACATTATGACCGGCGATTGACCCAAGCGTGTAGGCGTTGTCGTCCGTAGGCGGAGACTGCAGCGGCGGGTGCCTCTCGTCGAGCATCGCGATCGCCGCCGTCATCTCCAGGGCCAGTGCACAGACCCATCCCAGCGCGTAGTCGTCGTGGGTGGGCATGTTGGTGGGCATGTTAGGAATTCATCCCCGCTGGATTGTTTGGCGGTAGGTGTTTTCTTCGACACAGCGATCGATAGTAGAGGTCGATAGTCGATCAATGCAGTTTTCACGGAGGATAGCGTCGACTGTTGGAGTCCAGGTCATCGTGGAGGGGTCAATGCGGGCGAGGCTGAAGAGCTGCCAATGACCGGGCATCGGCGCTTACTGGGATGGTCGGTGGACTCATAGTCTTCCTGATCCTATTTCTGGTCCCTTTTAGTCATACACACCGTCAGGCGAATCTGGTTGTGAGACGATTCTTGCTTTTTTTCTCCTTTAGCAGTCCTCCCATCCTGCTAATCCGTCGCCCCGTATATATTTTTACACTAGTCACTCACCTTCGAAACCGTGACGTGAGCCAAGAAGTAAACCCGCGCGCTCAATAAGCCGCGCGCCGAATCGCCTCTATTCTATCAAATGGGAAGGGCATAGTTTGGCCCCGGGAAAGTAGTAAAAAGATGCTGTCCATCCTCTTCGGTCGGAATCATCATCGTTCTTTTCTGCATTTCCGCAATGTCAGGCTCAAAAGTACTGGTGTTAGGGGCCACTGGTCCCGCGGGTATTTGTCTTCTGCGAGAGCTTCTCTACCGCAAGCATGCATGCTACCGTTGCATATGCCCGAAACCCTTCCAAGATTCCTGAAGATATAGCCTCAAATCCAGATTTGGAGGTATTTTCTCCTTGGCCCAGACCCGTGTTCCATATCACTTGGTGTTATAACTCGTCTAACCTGTCGCCTGCCGCCCCTAACTAGATCATCGCCGGCGAGATCCATGACCTGGCGGCACTCTCCCAGGCCGTTGCGCAAAGCTCCGTCATACTTTCACTTCTCGGGCCCAACCTTCACGAGCGCGGTATCACCCCGGCGCTGCTCGCCGACTACTACCAGTCATCTGTTTTCCCCTTGATGCGCCAAAACGGGGTCCGTCGGATTTTTGCCATGGGGACCCTCTCAATCGTGCGGCCAGAAGACCACCAGACCTTTCTCCGGCCTATGGCGGCGCTCTTCGTACGGCTAATCGCCAACACCGCATACCAGAACGTACTGAACATTGCCGCCGTGTTCGACCACGAGGCCCATGATATTGACTGGACGGTCTTTCGGATCGCGCATATTCCCGGAAATTCCGACCACGCAAGTTGGAAGACGGATCGGGATGTCGAGGCCTTTGTGGGGTGGATCGGCGAGAATGGCTGGACTGGGTCGCAAACGAGAGGAGCCCTGGCAAGATGGCTCGTCGACGCAGCTGAGAGTGGAATGACGGAGTGGGTGGGCAAGATGTCCGCCGTGAGTCGGTTGGCACGGAGCCCGCGTAGGCTATCCTCGGAGGAAGACATTTAGGCCACCGTGCTCGGTACGGAGAATCGAAATTGGTCTCAAAATCTCTTGGAGTAGCAATCCCATGTTGTACGTGGTTTATTAAATTTCTTAGAAATCAAATGCCTCAATTTTGGTTGCACTATTGGAATTCCTTGTATATTTGGTCAGAAGGTAGAACCGTAGTTCGGAAATTCGAATTACCTGCGGGACCGTCGGACTTCGGCTCCTTTCGTTCTCCAACTTCTTAATTTTGACATTCTGCAGGCCTCGACCAGGAAAGCTTGAGTGCCACCTACCCTGAAGACACTGCGGCCCCTTGAAGAACCAGGACTCTTCGGCGACCTGTCCACTCTGCTCCATCCGATAGATTTGGAGGCAATCATGCCAAAAATGAGGCAAGGGGGCTCCTCGGGCTGCTGGGCCTGCCGACCTCGTCGCAAGAAGTGCGACAAGTCGCGTCCGATCTGTGGAAACTGTAGAAGTTTGGAGATCACCTGTAATTTTGCCGTGCGATCTCCCGAGTGGATGGACAACGGCCCCAGGCAGCGCGACATGACAAAGCAGTTGAAGAACGAAGTCAAAAAGAGTGCCAGACGGCGCCGGCAGAAGAAATTGAGTGGAGCTATTGAAAGGGATCTGGATGAGGACATGGGAGAGTCGCAACAAGCTCCGTTCGGGCCCAGTACCTCGACTAGCTGAGCGAGTGACTTAAGGCAAGGCTCGGTCCCTGACCAACCGCCTCCCACCAGCCGTGCCCCTGATGTCGGTCTGCTTCCATACAGCACGAATATGCAGTTGGATGTGCGATTTGACAGGGAGGGGCTCGATCTGCAAGACTCGAGTGCGACAAATGCCAACACAGCCTCGGAGGGTCTTGGAAATGAGTTAGAGCTCAGCCTTTTCATGGCTTACCTAGATTATGTTCTCCCGACACTCTTTCCCTTTTGCAGACCGACTATCCTCGAGGGCGGCCGTGGTTGGCTCTTGGTCATGTCCCTGAAGAAAAAGGCCATCTATCATATAGTTATCAGCCAAGCGGCATACTTTTTTTCGGTGGTTCCAGTTAGCCACACCTCAATTCCCCAGGCATGTACCCCGGTCGCATAGGACCAGCTGCACGCGCAGACAAACATGGCGATCAAAAATGTGCAGCTCGACATACACCAGATCAGTCATTGGGATAATCCAGGCGACCCCACTGAAAGAGCTCATCTGTTGGTGAGCATTGTGCAACTGTTGACGCTTTCAAGCGTCGATTCCGTCAGGAGAGACCTGGATGCTGCCAGCGTCGTTTTCGGACAGATTTCCCAGCATCATGGCAGAGCCTGGTCGTCTTCGGGCAAGATCGCTGGAATTCTTGATCAATTGCACGATCCATCATTCGTGGCTAGTCCATCTCAAATCTCGCCTTGGAATTCCTCCCAGGCCGCGTTCTGCTTTTCTTCTGCTATGCTCCTCTTATATGACATCATCGCCAGTATCTCGCTGGAACAGCCGCCACGGCTGGCTGAATACCACGCTGAGTTGTTGATTAATAATGTGAATCCCCAAGGAGACCCGACATTGGATTTGACGGGCTTTATTGGATGTCACAACTGGGCGTTGGTATTTATAGGCGAGGTCGTGTCCCTCCATAAGTGGAAGAAATACATGAAGAAACGTGACACGTTGTCGATGCTACAACTCGCACAGCGTGCTAACCAGATTGATCGGCAGCTGCAAGATGGCCTTGACCAACTTCAAAATCTCGAGGTTGCGCAATGTCGGAGCCATAATCCCAAGAGAACACGACAGGGACTCGGGCTCCCTTTGTTTGGCATCTTTAACGATCTGCCGGACGAATCTAATTTGGTTACTCACAGGCCTACGCTACACACGCGTATCTCCATATCGTTCTTTCGGGTTGGCAGACGGCTAATCCCGAAGTCCGTGATAGTGTTGCCCGCATCGTTGATCTCTTGACAAAAGTCGTTTCTCCGGCTGTGCTACGCACACTGGCTTTGCCCTTTTGTGTAGCCGGATGCTTAGCGGGTGAAGACTAGGAATCATTGTTTCGTGACTTTGTTCGCTCAGTAGGTGATTTGCAGGGTCTAGGGACAATTCCCAAGGCTTTGCGCGTTATAGAGAGTATCTAGCGGCGGTGAGGCCAGATTGATGTTGACTCTTGGGATATTTCGGCGAGTCTGGGCGGCTTGGGAGAAAAGGCGTTGTTGGTTTAGGGAATAGTAGCTGAGAGCTTCATTGGTCATTCGTTGCTGTTTTCAAAGAACATAGCGAACATAGAGGGAACACCAGTTAGGGCGGCCTACGATACTGCCATCCTTCATAGAATACTTCTCTCGGTACTGATCTTGCAAAAACGCTTCAAATCTATTCTGTATTCTTCTTGGTCCTAACATTTGAATCATTTCAGACTGTAGGATACCTAGTCTCGCCCATTTATATCCAATTCAACCACTCATCGAACATGAAAGCACATCCCGTGGTATCATCCCACTATCCGATCCTGGTATAGGATCAACTAAACAAACTTCACGCTTTGATGCATATCTTTCTGTACCATAATACTCGGCGACCGAGGTACCTGTTCCTGTTCCTTCTTCCTACCCTCACAAAGACTATCCAGTTGTATAGTGCTTCTGTGCACGGTTCCGGCCTCCGGCCAGGAGTCACTCAAATCCGAGTTCCCTGTGTTCAACGTGTCACTCTGCTGCGTTTCTCGTGACCGTGTGCTGATCAGCTTCCACAGTCGGCTTGAACTCGACGAACTGTGAGTCTCAGTCCGGAATGGATCTTTCCGGCGGTGCGTGAAAAGGGGACCAAAGGTAGGAAGGCAAGCTGCTAGGATTCCGACGGAAACTTCCATATAGGACCAGATACTGAAGAAGACGGCGTTGTCTGGGAGAATCAGCCCGGTGAGATCTTTGGAGGGGAGGGTTCTTCCTTACAGCTGGTATCAACTGGATTCATGGTGGCTATTGTGACTACACGGATTATGCCGAAGATACAGACGCTAGTCCTAGGTATTAGATCGGTGGTAGCGGGAAAAGGGGAGAGGGAGACAGCTTACATCCCGCCTAGGAGGAAGATGGTCAACACTTGGATTTTGCGGTTCCTTCGCATGTGCAGCTCCAATACGGGTTTGACGGGGAGTGCCAAGATGGCAAAGTCCGTGACCACGTTTACAACGCTTCACCATAGTTAGTCAAATTGAGTGTCGGGTAGTATTGTCCGGGGTGAACCCACGCAAAGATCGTAAACGGCACGGAGATACCGATACATTTCCCAGGCTCCCCAGTCCACATCGACGAAAAAGGCACGCACTGGAAGGCAGCGACGAATGCCAAAGCAACGTTGTATGCGATGACGGTTGCGCCCACGAAATAGGCGCCCAGCAAGAGCGATCTCGTGGGGAAGATACGACGATACAGAAATAAGATGGATATCTTGGTGGCCATGACGGTGATCGCGTACACGATCGCATTTGCGGCACTTTCCTTTTTTCATGAGGTCAATTCAATTCCTCTGAGTCTCGGCCAGAGAGACATCATACCTGTACAAAGCGCTTCTGGTCTTTAACAAAGATCATGTGCCGGCCATCGCCGTTTGCATTGGACAGGAATAACAAGATGGCATACGACAGTTGGCCCATCTGCCCCACGGTTCATTAGCAGCTTTAACTAGGCGCTCCTCCGCCGTGGTTTCCGGGGTCTATTCACCAGAGCGAGAAAAATAAGATAATCGTCCCAGCTCAATCGAGCCCCCGAGCGGATTCGCGCCAACAATCGTGCCCCCACCGCTACAAGAGTGAGCACGATCCCAACAATGTCGGCAGCTGTCTTGCTCGATTGGCGATTATCATCCGCATGGGCCTGGTAGTAGGCGATTTCTTCGGGTGTTAGACTCGATACGCTTTCCATTGCTGCGAGATGCTATGCAGTAGAGAAGAGACACAGCATGCTAGTAGAAACATGCGACGCAGTTGGTTATAAAATGAAGGTGTTACTCGATATCACTTCACTACACCCTCCGGGCAGGGGGGGTTGCGCCCTTGCTGATTGAGCGGCTTACGGTACTCAATTGGGCGGTTTTCCAGCATTCTTTGCCCGTCTTACAGAGGACCCCTTGGTTCGGGCTGCATGCCAGGACGGTACTACCTTGGGGCTACATAGTCGAATCTGACGGGGGAAGAGCGCACCGCTGAATTGGAGCCAATGAGGGGATGCTCAATCGAATGGGATGGCTGGTCTCACAAATTGGTCCCAACCTCCTCCACGTGAATGCACGACTATCATCTTCCAGGGCTCGTGGAATACTTGAGACCCGCTATTGCCACGCCTCCCCACTCCCACGCGCCAAGCGGATGCCCCTTGTCCGGGGACAAATACAGTCAGCTCGATAGCGTGCGGGAGAGAAACCACATTCGGTTCTCCCGGAGAGCGATCTACGGGAACTCGCGTGAAAGGGCTGATTACAGAGACATTGAACCTATTCGGGATACTTTGGCTTTTCGCTAGTGCTCAACGGCACCGTTCTTTGTATATTGCAAGATGTCGACATAGTGACTACGGTCGGGGTTAAGAATCCTTCGTTCTCAAGGGGCTGGCAAGAGCAGGCCCAGGAATAAGATCGCGATGGCGCAGAAGCCAAACCAAAATTAGTAGCGAGATAGTAATAAAGCCCAGGTATACAGTCACCACCACCAGGTCACTTCGATGATTACTCTGGCTGCACCCTCCCCAGTGCAGATTACCTTCTGAGGTTAAGCTACCCTTTTCCGCTTCCTCGTTTTCTCGGGCGTCAAAAATGAAAAAATGACTCTCTATACCCCTTGTGAGTTCTCGATGCTTGTTTCATAGTGGTCCGAGTCGTTATCCCTTTATTGCCTTATCCATTCCCTCGTCTGACAGCTTGAAGCAACCAAAAACCTTTCGGACCCGAAAGGATACACAGTTAAACCCACACACGTTTTCAAGGGCTCTAACGTGTCATTTTAAATTTCAATTAGCGATAAGTTCAGAAATCCCCCCTTTTTTTTCTTTCTCACCCTGGCGGATAAAGCAGTACTGGACAAGTGAGGGCTGCGAATATGTAAATAGCAATGAATTAGGCAGTGCAATCTAATTCTGCTACTAGAACAGAATGCAAATGCCCAGGCCGGGAACGAGGAGATGGTGGGGGGCGAAAGCGCAGTGGAGACATGTGGTAACCGGATCCTTGCAGGGGTTCTGTATTGCATGACTCGCTAGCAAGGCAGTCTTGAGATCACCAGGAATGTGGTGGTCAGACGGTAGAAAGATGCAACAACTAGACGCATGATCTGCGATAGTTCCCCTAATTCCAGCAGTTCGTCGGTCGATCGTTCCTTTGTTCTGTTCGGATCCTTCGACTAGTACGATACTCCCAGGCTGTTCTGCAGTTTTTATTTGGGCTTCCTTTGTTTTCCTGGGGCTGTAGTGCATCGCCACTGCGACATTCCGGGGTCAGCATGCAGGTTATACCGGGGAACAGCCATACTCCGTATATCATCCTATCAAGATACTTAGTCCAGAAGGCTATACCTTGATTATCGCCCAGGTGGCTTACTCTGCTTTGATCGCGTCAAGACATTGCGGTTTGGCTGAAGATGATCCGTCTGGTTTGGGATGGCTAGCTTTGCCTCTTTGCCTGACTCCTGAGCAGGTGGCCATGAGGTGCTACTCTATATGGCCACCAGCTCCTGATATACTATGATATCTTTCCAGACTAATCTACATGTGGCTTCCTGCTTGCTGTACCGACCTAATTGCCATGTTATAGTGGCTCTGTACAGAGCGGTCATGGTTTTGTCGATACAATTTTGGCTTCTAATAACTACTTCTAGCATTGTTCACGTGTCCTAATCTATTATCTTATTCAGAATTTTGCACGGCGCTATTACAGGTCTTCTTGTATGAGTGATTCTAGGTTCTGGGCTCTTTTTCCTCTTGCGTTGTTAGGACACTTCGTTTTACTGCTTAATATCATCTAGGTCTTTTTTTCAACACAATATTTGTTTTAACGAGATTTAAATTTCATTTGTCATTTACTAAATGCGAATAATAATTTTCATAGGGACCTCCCTGTCCAAACTCGAACATCACTGTAAAAAATGAAAAGTCTGCATACAGTGAATATCAATTTTGTATATCCTTATAGCAATACTGAAAGAACTCAATAGAAATGTAGAATATTGCCCCATAATCAAGTAGCCATGGTACCCTATTGGATCCCTAGTGCTGAGCTTCCGGTCATATGGGATACAAGATTCAACCGTTGACACCAACTCTAGACAGCACAAAGACTACGAAGGGAAAGACAATTTAGAATGGGGCCTCCAGCTCCCCGGTACAGCCCGAAGTGTTCAACCCGCAAGGTCGTCCATTTTGTACCGATGGAGAGCTTCGTCGAACTGATTAACCTTCAATACAGCCACAGTTGGCTTTTTGGGAGGAATTTCGTCTGTTGCAATGCCATACTCCGTCTTTAGCGTCTGTAAGAATGTTTTATGACGCGTACGCAGGTGGATTTCAACCCCAAGAGGCCCATCGTTGTGGCGGCCTATCAACGAATCTATGAACTCGTCAATGATGTGAAGCCAACGAATCTCACGTTTAATTTTAGCGTCGTCGTAAGTGCACTCGCCCCATCTCATGGCCGCGCGATTCATCACAAAGTATGTCGATGCGAGGGCCTCGTTTGCGCAAACCCAGTTTTCATATAGAGCAGAGCGATCCTTTCCAACTAGCAGGGAAGCATGGAGGTTCACAACACGAAGCATCTCTTCACGATCGTTAAGGACCCCGCGCTGATGTAACGAAATTAGGAATGTCCCTCTCACAAAGAACAGGTAGTTTTGGTCCTTAAATACCAAGCAAACCACTTTGTATTCCTTTTTCTCACTGCGATTACCAATCCTTTCCAGGAAGATATAGTGTGCACCCATCGCATGTTCCAAGAACTCCAGCACCTCTTGTTTACCCTCTGGGCTCTCCACGCAGACGTCCCCACGCCTTGAGATTCGGAAACGGACTGCCATAGTGCCTGCTACCGAAGTATCACTTCTGTTCTGAGTCCTGACTAGAAGCCCGAGTGTAACCCCTCGGATTGACCAAAACGGGGCGGCGAGGTCGATACAATGGGTATTCCGCTGGTATCGCCTGGTTATTCGGCCGATACTAAGCTAATCATGCGAGAGGATCTAGACGGTTGTATTTATTGTTTGGCAATTCCTCGATAGCCGGCGGTTACCGGCAAAGCCCATGAAGACCCATGGTACCCTTTGTCTACATTGTCGACATTACCCAAGTAACGTTATAATGACACAAAGGCCGCAATGACGGAATAGTCCATTAGAAAGCATCATTATGAACCTCTCTTCCGGTCAACACGACAAGGAGCTGGCCTAGATTGACGATTTTGGGCGACCTTCCCTATTACAAGCCGAATGCGGTGGAATGACGGCGCACAACTTAGCCCCATTAACGAGGCGCTTAGTATCCAGTCGACAGGATTCAGACTTCATCTTCACGCAGTGACTGGCAGTATCCCAAGAATTCCTTTGGCGATACAAATACTTGGTGAACATTATTCAAATGTCTTCGCTTACGGAGACATGCTTCGTTGTCTATACCAGGCTAAGACGCAAGTCTTTGATCCGCAAGCTCCAAGAAATTGCTCACCCGGATTGTGCACAACCGAACAGAAGTGTAAAGTCATCTTGGACAGTCTGTTGAAGCTCAATGCCGACCGATGGCTTCCAGCCCAGCTCTCGAGCTCGTTGTGCGGAAGTGAAAGAGCTGAGCAACGACCATCAGTCCACGCACCACCGAATTTCGGAAGGGATTATAAATTTATACATACTTTGGCGCTAGGCCAACCTCGGCCACATGCTCATCTCCGCCTGTATATCTCTCGGAAGCTTCCTTCAGGGTGATTGATTGTGGCACTGGTGAGGTCAAACGCCCCAGACTGTGGCCAGCCTTCGCTATTCCCTCTGCCAAATGCTTCCAAGAATGCCTCTGGGTCTCGGCAAAGTAGAAGCCCTGTCGGCCAGTCGATACCGGTTCGCCCCGCAGGATGCGACCGACGAGAAGCTCAAACAGGCCGGCGAGATCGACAACGTGAACATAATCCCACACCCCGGCACCGTCCCCCACGTACTCGGCCTGTCCAGCGGCAACGGCGCCATGGCTGAGTGCGGGGATGTGGAACGACTGCTGGTTAAAAAGCCCGGTGCCCCTGCCGTAGATGAGAGGGGCCTTCACGACCAAGGTGCCGATACCGGCTTGCTCTCCGACTTGCACAGTCTTGATGTCGGTGGCGCGTTGCGCGTAAGACTCGCCGGCCTCGCGTTCTTTCAAGTAGCCGTAAATGTCGTCTTTGTCTGAGAAGACCCTAGATTCCAGGATTCGTTTCGTGATGGGCCGATCGCCCAGACTCGAAGTTCCGCTGATATGGAGAAAGTACCTGGGCTTGCTGCTGTTTTGGGTATCTGCGAGGCCTAGAATCAACGCTCTGGCCGCGGCAGGACTCGATGAATCGGCGGCGTGAATGATCATATATCATGGTCGCTAGCGATGCGTCGAAGATCCTCGGTGGCCTCAAAGCCGTTGACGATGATGGGAGTGACTCCTTTGGAAAGATAGGCGTCGGCCTGCTTCTTTTTCCGAATCAGAACGGAAATGGTCAAGGCCTTAATCTGCGGTATCGTCGAATCCAGGAGCTGGGTGAGTACAGTCCCCCCGCTAGACCCTGTTAGACATTTGCCTCGGCGCCGCGTCCTGGGACGTGATTCTGACTCACATGTATCCGATCGCCCCGGTCAGAAGAAGCTTGGTGGGTGCCATTTTAGTGTGCTTGGTCGTAGGGAAAGCCGTGGGAGGAAGTTCTACCGATGGTGGATGTATAGGCGAAGGTTGAGTAGGAGGGGGTGAAGGCCTGCCGCTTCTATATCTGACGAGGGGAGAGACAGTTCATCCCTCGGGGACTTTTCACGCCATTGTCCGTCCCTTGACTCGGATGACTCCTGACAGTCTGCATTTCTTTCAATCTGGCCCCCACGCCGAAACTGGACGCGGATAGCAAATTTCCAGTAGTGTTGACTGCCTCGGGACGAGCCGCTAGGGCCCCGGGGAACGAAGTTTAGAATCTCTTGGTCAAATGTTTCCGAGCTGACTCTTACTCCCTAAGGCCTGGACTGCCGATGACATTTAATCGGTCCCTTTGCCTGGCCGCAAGTGTCCGGGTTACAAATCGGGGCTCAATTAACTACCGGCTTCAAGCTCAGTTCAACACCCCTCTAGGACCTAGAACGAGGCATAGCCTTCTTTGGACATGCCACTTCGATTTACAGGAGATAATTCTCATTTTGCGCATGAATTCGCGGGTTTACGAGGTTTGCCATGAGCCGGTATCAATCGACGCTCCAAATTAGCGATTCACGGGGGGGGGATTGTGTGACGCAGGATCCGTTGTAAGGAGAAAAACAACCCTAGTGGGTATGGCATGACTATCTGGCCGAGATGCAATCTATGGAGGCGGGGAATTCTGACTGGCAGCTTTCTCCCGCTCCGCCCGCTTCATTCGATAGAACCGGGGGGGCTCGCGCACTACGTCGTCACCGAAGGAGGGCAGGACGAACATGGAGGGCAGGGAAGACACTTCGTACCCTTCCCGGTGGCCCTGGAGGGCGTCGAGGGCGTCGAGGGCGTCTCGCAGCAGGTTCAGCTCCCCGTCATGGGTGTCGGGCACGTGCGGGGAACAAAGCAGCAGGAGAAAGTGATCGTGCATCAAGTCCTCGTTCCAGGCGGCGAAGATCTTGTATCGCCGTTCGATAGCCAGGATGGCCCGCGAGACGGCGACCCAATGGCGACGGCGCTTGACGGCGCCCTTCTCGAAGGGGCCGATGTAGATATAGTGATAGGGCATCGTTCCGCAACCGTTGGGGGTCAGCCGCGGACGCAGGGCGACGGGATTTATATCCGCCTGCTCGGTGGCCCGTGGATGGCGCAAACGGGGAGGTCCCATTGCCTTCATTGTGGTGAAGGTGAAGGCTCCGACAGGAAGCAACATGAAAGAACCAAGGATGACAAAGACCGAGCTCGGTCAGGAGACTCTGGAGTCTGGACGGCGGCCTGACAAATCGGGCAGCCGGGAATCAGTGGATGAATCAGCAAGACATCATCGACCGTCTGGGTGCCTCAGGCGTGCGGGGAGAGCAGTCCCAATCAGGCAGGTGAATCCTGGTCTGGACCGCCGCCGCTTGGAAATTGCTAATCCCCTGCCTGCGGATGACCACAGGGTCTGAGTAACACGATTTCCGTGCAACCGGCGAGTTCGGTTGCTTGCCACCCATCCACGGTTCTTATAAAAGGCCAGGGCTGCCATTGAGTAACGGACGAACTGGCTGATCAAGGCTGCTGAGTTATTCGGACGGTCTGATTGCCTGGTTGTCGGATTCCTGACTGCCTGACTGCCTGACTGCCTCGTTGCCTGATACCCCGCCTTCTTCCCCCGCAGATCGCGTGTCGGCCTGATTCGCCAGGACGCCAGCCCCGCGGCCTTAGCTCGGCCCAGCTCTGCTTTAGCTCTGTCCATCCTTTCCTGCCGAATCTTCTCCTCTGTCCTCATTTCTTTCTCTTCGCCTCTGATTCCCGCGGGTTTCGCAATCCCTTTCCCGTCATTCGCTGCCTATAAAACTGCCCCCTCCGTCTCCTCGGGCTGCTGCGCTGCTGTCTCTTTCCTCTTCCCCATCCTCTCCCCATCCTCTCCCCACCCCGTCTTTCCCTCTCTCTCTCCCCCCCCAGATTGCATCATGAGCGAGTGTCCCTTCCCCCACGGCCAGAAGCCGGCCAATATGGCCGGCGGTGGCACCAAAAACGAAGACTGGTGGCCCAGCCAGCTGCGTCTGGGCATTCTCCGTCAGCATGCCGACGCCAGTAACCCCCAGGGCAAGGACTTTGAGTACGCCACCGCGTTCAAGAGCCTCGACTACGACGCCCTGAAGAAGGATCTGCATCGCCTGATGACCGACTCGCAGGACTGGTGGCCCGCCGACTTCGGGCACTACGGCGGCCTGTTCATCCGCATGGCCTGGCACAGCGCCGGCACCTACCGCGTCTTCGACGGTCGCGGCGGAGGCGGTCAGGGCCAGCAGCGGTTCGCGCCCCTGAACAGCTGGCCCGACAATGCCAGTCTCGACAAGGCCCGTCGCCTGCTGTGGCCCGTCAAGCAGAAGTACGGCAACAAGATCTCCTGGGCCGATCTGCTGCTGCTGACCGGCAACGTCGCCCTCGAGTCCATGGGCTTCCAGCCCTTCGGCTTTGCCGCCGGTCGTCCCGACACCTGGGAGGCCGACGAGGCCCCCTACTGGGGCGGCGAGCATAGCTGGTTCCCCCAGGGCAACGACGTGCGCTACGCCCCCGAGACCGACGCCGAGAAGAAGCAGCAGAGCGACATCCGCACGCGCGACCTCGAGGATCCGCTGGCCGCCGTGCACATGGGCCTGATCTACGTGAACCCCGAGGGGCCCGACGGCAACCCCGATCCCGTCGCCGCCGCCCGGGATATCCGCGTCACCTTCGGTCGCATGGCCATGAACGACGAGGAGACCGTGGCCCTGATCGCCGGCGGACACACCTTTGGCAAGACGCACGGCGCCGGGCCCGCCGACAAGATCGGTCCCGAGCCCGAGGCCGCCGACCTGCACCAGCAGGGCCTGGGCTGGAGTAACGGATACCGGTCGGGTCGCGGCACCGACAGCATCACCAGCGGCCTCGAGGTGACCTGGACCAAGACGCCCACCCGCTGGAGTCTCGGCTTTCTCGAGTACCTGTTCAAGTTCGACTGGGAGCTGACCAAGAGTCCCGCCGGCGCCAACCAGTGGACGGCCAAGGATGCCCCCGAGATCATCCCCGACGCCTACGACGCCAACAAGAAGCAGAAGCCGCGCATGCTGACCACCGATCTAGCCCTGCGCTTCGATCCCGCCTACGAGAAGATCGCCCGCCGCTTCCTGGAGAAGCCCGACGAGTTTGCCGACGCCTTTTCGCGCGCCTGGTTCAAGCTGCTGCATCGCGACATGGGTCCCCGCGCGCGCTGGCTGGGTCCCGAGGTGCCCAAGGAGACGCTGCTGTGGGAGGACCCCGTGCCGGCGGTCGACCACCCGCTGATCGACAACGAGGACGCCTTGGCGCTGAAGAAGGAGATTCTGGCGTCCGGCGTCGAGCCCACCAAGTTTATCACCACCGCCTGGGCGTCCGCCTCGACCTTCCGCGGCAGCGACAAGCGCGGCGGCGCCAACGGCGCGCGCATCCGACTAGCGCCCCAGAAGGACTGGGAGGTGAACAACCCGCCGCGTCTGCAGGAGGTGCTGCGCGTGCTGGAGCGCATCCAGCGCGACTTCAACGGAGCGCAGACGGGCGCCAAGCGCGTCTCGCTGGCCGATCTCATCGTGCTGGCCGGCTGCGCCGCCGTCGAGCGCGCGGCGGGCCACCCCGTGCCCTTCACTCCCGGTCGCACCGACGCCAGCCAGGAACAGACCGACGTCGAGCAGTTCGAGTACCTGCGGCCCCTGGCGGATGGCTTCCGCAACTACGGCGGCTCGACGCCGCGCGTGCGGGCCGAGCAGTACCTCGTTGACCGCGCGCAGCTGCTGCAGCTGACGCCGCCCGAGATGACGGTGCTGGTGGGCGGCCTGCGCGTGCTGGACGCCAATTACGACGGCTCCGACACGGGCGTCTTCACGCAGCGACCCGGCCAGCTGACCAACGACTTCTTCGTCAACCTGCTGGACATGAACACCGTCTGGCAGCCGACCGGCGGCGACCACGAGCGCTTCGAGGGCGTCGACCGCAAGACGGGGGCCAAGAAGTGGACCGGCAGCCGCGTGGATCTGGTCTTCGGTTCGCACGCCGAACTGCGTGCGCTGGCCGAGCTGTACGGCAGCGCCGACGGCCAGGTCAAGTTCGTCAAGGACTTCGTCGCCGCCTGGGACAAGGTCATGCAGTTGGACCGCTTCGACCTCGCCTACTCGGCCGTCCCTACGCGTCCGCGTCTCTAGTCGGCCTTCGTTTCGGTTGCGGGCTGATCGATTTCGCGTTCTTGTTTTTTATTCGATGGTTCGCCTTTTGCTTGCCATGCTGTGTACCTAGTCATGAGTTTATGGGTTAAAATTGTTACTTGATTGCACCTTTCAAGACGCTCCGGGCCTGTGTCTCTTTTCTGTGTCCCTCTTTCCTTCGTTTCTTCTTAACGTCTCCACGGAGAACATGGCAGTCTCTTACAGCTCGTAGAAGTAAAACCAAGTCCCTCCGTGTCTCACGGAATGTTCTTCTCTGTCCCCCAATGGATAAGACATCGAAGAGGGCGGTAAATAACCGAAAGGGGTGTCAAGTCCATTTCTCTCTTACCACCCACAGCAAGAGTTCCGCCATCCAGCATCACTAGACCATTTCTCGCTTGACGACTTCTGAGTCCGTACAATCCATTGAGAGGAGGCCCATGGTATTGGATTGTACCATTACAATGACAAAGAAACATCATCCTGGCGTCGTCGGACCCATACGGCAGCAGTTGAGTTGGCGCTCATCACAATGCCGTTCTTCACCGGCTGTGGACGCAAGCCATCGACCAGTTGGAGGTCATACTTCAGCAGAATATGAACCAGGGCGATTTTGATCTCCGTTACGACCAGGTTTCTTCCGGGGCACGCATGTTTCCCGAATCCCCACGCCAGATGTTCGGGCGACGGCGTGGTGACCTGCGCGTATCTCTCTTTCCCTGCCGTTTGGCGCAACCTTACCGATCGGTAGGCATCAAACCTGTCCGGGTCTGGATAGAGACGCATCCGATCGGCGGTTCGCCGACACGATAGTATACGAATCCCTTGGTATCCTTGTTCCGTTGGACAGCGTGGTTGGGTCCGTGGAAATGCGCTGCATCGCCGCTAAAGATTCCTGTGTCACTGTGTCTTCCGAAAGACAGATCTGACAAGGATAATGAAAAGAGAACGAGGGATGCGACGTCAGGGACAGCTTACCGGCCAGGGACGGTTTCAGACGCTGAGACTCCTTCAGGGTACTGTCCATCAGGTGCAGATTTTGCAGAGCCGACACCGTTAACCCCTCCCGCTGGACCACCGATCTGGTCTCGTCGCACAGGGCGGTGATCAATTCATCGCGGCCACAGAGGTCGTAGAGGACTTTAGTGAGCATGTCTGCGGTAGAATGCAGGCTGACTGCCGCCATGCCGAGCTGCGCCATGACGGGATCATACGGACGGCCTCGAGCGCATTCCTCCAAAAAGTAAAAGAATATTTGCCGATTTATAAACTTCCCTGACAAATATATTGAATATGATGTGGAAACTCGATAGAATTCCACATATCAGATAATTGATAATAGGTTAAAAGTAAAGGTCCAGATTAATCGTTTTCTGACTTTTCAGACTGAGATTCCTCCATTTACAGAGAATGAATGGTTACGGCTTAGTCAAATCCACCAAATTTTTGCTAAATTCAATAAACTCACAGTGTTCTTGTCTGAGAAGAAACTACAGATCAGTCTTGCTGTACCACTTTACTATGAGCTTTATAGTTTACTGTGCGAAGGTTCTGAATTACAAGGATCCTTTTCAGGATTAGATCATAATATTGCAGTTACAATCAAGGAAGGCTTATCAGTATAAAAAGTACTACACATTCATAGATACTTCTAATATGTACTATACAGCGCTGATCCTGGATCCTCGGGTTAAAGGAGATCTAATCTTGAGCGAGATAGAAGATAAAGAAGCAGGTAACCTTATTGTCGGTTGACTTGGTCATTGCCCTAAGCAGATATCCTATCGATTCAACTGAATGTAGGTATATGCTCGGTGG